TATCTACATGTTGCAGATAGGAACTTTATTAGATAGACTAAGTCAGAGACTTGAAAATCCCGGTTTGGATACAGAGACTCTTAATTTACATAATACAACAATTTCTGTTTTACTTTACTATCTTGGGATGTTAGATGTTGTTGATTTACGTACTGCATACACCAAAATTTCAGGAACAAGTTACAAAGAAGAAACAATACGGTGCTCAAAAGCATAATAATTCTTTAGTATTAGTACTCTATGAAATAAAATTCATTTAAATCTCATTGCTTTCTATTATTGTAGGAATATGTTTCTTGAAGCTTTGCCACAAGTTGGTACAAAAGAAGCTGCATTATTCATATTAGAATTAATTCAAGATAGGAAAGTATCAGACATGTCTGCAATTCAACTTCTTACTCAGTTACCATTTCATGTAAGAAAACCAGATGTCCAACTGTTAGTCAATTTACAAACATTTCTGAATTTGCCAGAAAAATTATCTCCAGAAGTACAAAACACAGCAATTCTTACATATGGCACATTGATTTATAAAACGTGCTTATTATATTGTCCATATGAAATGTTAGATGATTATGTGCATCTATATCTCGATAAGTTTACAGGTATATATAATAATTACTATTTCAATAAACATATGAAGACATTAATTTTTAATACTTATATTATTATATTATTATTCTTATTATTATAAATAATTTATAGAGACAAAGGAATATTTGAAGAAAATGGTTTGGCTAGAAGGTTTAGCAAATATACAATTAGGAAGAGTAGTGGAGTTCTTAGAACCTATTGCAAGCAGTAATAATGCAGAATCACGTCATTTTCGTGTTCTTGCTGCCTGGGCATCGCTTCCAACTGCTCCGCGGAGACCTGATGTTGTAAGTAGTTAATATTTGTTGTAATATAGTAAATTATTCGATATTACTCCTTTATTTCTTTTTATAGATATATCCAGTTTATTGGCCAATTTTAATAAATAGAACTGAACATTTAGAAATGAGAGTAGCTGCATTGACATTACTTATTGTTTCGAGCCCTACACCAAGCAGGCTGATATCATTATATTGGTATATGCAAAGTGAACCCAATCAACATTTGTATAACTATTTTTATACCACTCTAAAATCTATGGAGCACACCACCTTCCCTTGTTACGTTCATATGTACGTAAAGATAATATGAAACTTCTGTTTCTGTGAAATGTTTAAATACTACACAATTCTTTTTTTCTTAATTGTCATTATAGAGGTGCTATAGCTGCTCAATTTACACGAGTACTTCGTCGATCATCAAATTATCAATATTTGATTACTGGTAATTATGTATTTGATTATCAAGATGCATATAGAAAATTTGGTGCAATGATAAGTGGTATTGTCATTGCTAATCCTCTATCAAATATGCCTGAGGTTTTATATGTAACTCTTAATACTTATGGAAGTGGAACCAATATAAATCATGTATCTGTAAGTATTAGTTTAGAATTACTTTTCGAATTAAAATATCGTGACAATTTCTGATTTTGTGAACATCATACATACACAGTTATATATAAAAGCTGAAGGCCTTCTACAAACATTATCAACATATCTTGATGGTCCAACACAAGTACAGGATATACTGAAGCAATTTAAAATAGACCAAAAGCGAAATGGACCTGTACATTTAGAAGTAATCGCACGTATTCAAGAGAAAACAATTTTATGTCTCCACTTAAACGAAACAAATATTATTGCAGGATTTAAATGTAAGTTAATAAGACTTAGCATATTAATAAGGTAATAAGATGAGCATATGATTCTCACGCGACAAAATTTTTTTGTTTTTCTTGAGCAAAAATATCATATATATAATGCTGTTTAATTTCTTCAGATCTTTCATCACTACCTAATAAAATGTATCATATATATCAAAACATGGAATTTCATGTTAATCAACAACGTATTAATGTACCATTAACTCTAGAATCGGTACAAGTCACAGATTTGGGAGCAAATGTTAGAGTTGCGGTTACCACTACATCATTATTCTCAATGAGGGGAAATTTTACACGTGTTTCAGTCGGTCGTAATAATCATGTCATATTACGGTATGAAATAATTTATTGTATTTTTATTTTCGTTTCATAATATCTTTTTTTTTACAAATTCACTATTTTCAGAACATCTATTCATGGATCTCAATTAATTGAAAATTATAATCCGTTAATTGATGTATGGCATAGTGCAGAAAGAGCACATTCTATACATGGATATCTTCCAGTCAACATTACAATTGGATTGCAAAATCGACCTTTCATTTCATATAATACTCCAGGGGGTACTAAAAATTTTAATTGCTAGCTTTTAGAAGCATAATTTATTATGTTTTATACTAAAACTCAATGTATTTATATAGAACATCTTAAAATGGGTTTCACATTTCATACCCGAACATCTACTAATATAAGAGGGCCAAATGTTAGATCGAAATTAAGTAAAATTTGTCCTAATTGCACCCAACTCTATGTAGTTAAAAAATCGCCAACATATAAACCACATGTAAGTAACGTTTAAATATTCTTTTCTTAACTTTGAATTGAAATGACATGAATTTCTTCATATAGGATGTAGATTTATTTCAAATTGACTTGGTAGAATTAGGAGCTCAAATATGTGTAAAACTATTCGATTGTGAAAGTAGACTATCACGAGAAAAATTAATTCGTGATGTGTTTTCTTCGCACCAGGCTAATTATCCGTAAGTGAAATGATAATACAATTTTGTATATTTTTTTTATAAAAGCTAATGAATAACAAGTATTAATAACTCATCTTAATTCTAAACTGTTGTAGTATTTGGCCAATTCTGCAATTTGCTTTAACAGCACTTCATTTCTTAGATTACTACACATATGTACCACCAAAAGGGAGCTGTGGTTTAGCTGCTTATATTAGTACAATTGACACACAACGAACTCAAGTTAGTAGATTAAGATACCTGATATTTTAAATACATAGATTTTAAGTTTCATATTGGATATATGTTTTATTAGGTCAGATTCGAATATATGAAAGGCCTAAACCATCATATGTTCTCTTTAACACGTAGTAATACCGAATCATCAGATGTTATTCAACAATGGAATTTAGCTGCAGTTTATGAGATTACGAGTTGGATTTCTGACCTACTAAAAATTAAAGCAACTAAAATCACACCAGGACAAGAAGTTTTAAAGGTAAGTTGTATACATTACAAATAGAAAAAAGGATAACTTATACATTTTGTTGTTTAGTTTTGTTTAGAAGCAGAAAAAGAAGTACCTTGGGAATGGAATTATCTTAGTACTAAACCAAGTGATTCTGCTAGAATTGTAATAAATGCTGTTTGGGGACCTTCTAATACAGCAAAAGGTAAATGTAGCGGATCCTCAGTTACGTTAAATTTACTTGGTGAAATTAGCGAAGATCAATTAAAAGAAGTTAAAGAAGCAAAGTGGCCCTATGAAGAATGTCGGGAACAGTCTAAAGGAAAACAATTTTCTCCATTCTCTGATGCATGTTATGAAGCTTCAAGGGAGTTATCTACTCTAAGGAAATATCAAATTATTGTACAACATGAAAATGTAAGTTCGCTATTAAATTACAAATACATTGTTAGCTATAAATATAAGAAGAAACCTACTGTAATAGAAACTATATTATCACAATTAGGTACCAGCAAGCTTAAAACGGTTAGCTTGGAAATTTCGTGCCTTCTATGATCTTATTGGCGGAAATAGTAGTTCTGATTCCACTTCAAATGAATTCACTGTAACTGCAACATTTCCAAAGGATTCAGACACTGGCGAATTATCGCTCAACAATGATAAAGTAATTATCGAATATAATTACAATTTTGTGGATTACTTTTTAACAAGAACTAGAATTCATAAATACATGGATTGGTCAATTATAAGAACATTTTTTGGTAAGTCAGTGTAGCGTTTTTAAGTTAATATTTTTGAAGAAGACTAGTTCATTATTTGTACCTGCAGAATTGATTCTATCTGATTACAGTACCTTTACCTGTCTTAATCACTTCCAAATTTAGGCACATGTATTGTGACGCCAGATTTTATAAGATCGATTTACAACGTAAATTACTCGTTCCGTAACAAACGTGAAGTTTTGTTACTTGGTCAATGTTTCAATGAAAATCCAAAATATGCATTATCAGCGCGAAATGATCTATATGGTGTCAACGTCAATATATATGACGAAATAGATAATGTACGAATTGTACCTAATAGAACCGGAGGAACGGTATACAATGATACAACATATATTTCATTACCTCAAAGTTATATATTTCACTCCCTAGGCTCTAAAAGGTGATTAAAATACTATTAATATTTTAAAAATAATGAGACTTATTTTGCAGCAGCTTTCATTATAGTTTCCCTTATATACATATAATATTATCATGCTTTAAGTATATGATATTTTCATATTATTATTATGTTTCAGGGTGAGATTGGATGTTAATACTATTGACATGATAGTTCCAAATCTCTATTTATATATGCATTGGACTCAAGAACAAATTCTTCTGTTCTTTCCAATGTATTTACTAGAATTTAGTTGTGGTATATGTACACTAGACTCTCTCAATACTGATAGTTTATATGAAAAATTATAAAACTGTTTATTTATGCACAAAGTTGATTTAATATGTAATAGATATTCACGATTAAGTAACATTTACCTTGTTACTTGGGTTGGTACATTACCACAATTAAAGCATTTGTAACGTGGTTAATTGTAAAAATAGTATTTAATTTTAATAAATATATAATTGTAATATAGACGAACTTGTAAATGCTGCAAGAAATTGGACCATTTACTATTTACGAATACATGTACTGATTTTATCTACAAACTTATAATTTTAATCTAATGTATATTTTTTATGAAATATAATCAGAAGTATTCAACATCGATAAGTACCTATATCTAAAGGTAGATTAAATTTGAACATTTTATTAAAAAAAATATTTTATTTTCACTTTGTATCTATAAAGTAATAATAACACGTAATTGTTTATTCACTTCTCTCGCTTATAGAATAACGGCATTAATTTGCAAAATGAAATACAATTACAAAACTAATTATCAATATAAATTATTAAATAAAGAATATAATAAATTGGTCTACTGCAGTCACGTGTTTTTCAGACATTCATCTAAATGTTGATTCATGAAAGACTCTGATATTAATAGTGTGCAAACAGGACAAAGATATCTATTATTCTGGTCAACTGGTACTTTGGGAGATTTTTCTGACATTTTTACATCAACATAATCTATTGACAGTTCTGAATCATCGTTAAAAAGATTTCCAATACAGTCTTCTAAGTGGTCATTTAATGACATCTCGGGAGGAATAAACATATTACAAACTAAACATTTTTGTGAATTGTCAATTGCATTTTTTTTCTGAGGCTTTGGCTTAGAATAAAGATCTTTCAAGTCTTCAGTAATTGAAAAGGAGGATGAATTACTACTAGTACTAGTACTACTTATGGAAATTATGCTTTCATTTTTCATTTCACTTGCAACATTTTTATTATCTAATTTAATAGTCGAATTATCTTGTTCATTTGCATCTAAAAGACATTTATCGAGATGCTCATTAATACTCGTATATTCAAAACTTTTATCACAGACAGGACAATTTGTCACTCTTATATTTTCTGATTGATCTAATTTTGGTTGTTTGCTTGAGAACGTACTCATATTGATTTTTCTTTTCTGTGTGGATGAGGTTTCGTCTACTTTTACTTGTGCTTTGGTAGAACTGATATTATCAGATATTATTAAACAAGAATCTACATGCTTATCTATGTCACTGCTTGGCACGAAATTACTGCATATTGGACATTCTACAAGTTTCACCATATTTGTCGATTGACTATCAATAGGCGATTTTCCTGCTTTTGCGACAGTGGATGCACCCGTTATTTCTTTTGATACTTTAATATTTCGATTGAAGTCAGGACGATTCTTCCTATTATCAAATTTACTCAATAAGTTACTTCGTCCTGTGGTAGAACCACCAAGAGTTCCAGAAGAAGAGAATTTAGGATTATTAGAAATTAAACTAGTAGATTTCTGTGTATTATTTGAGCCATTTGGACCTCCTGTACCCCAACCATGAACATTATTTGTATTATTTCCAAGTTTTTTGAATCTGTTTAAGAAATCTGGAGTGTTTGAGTGTGGTTTGATTTTTTCTGGAGTAGATGCAAATAGTGGTGTAGAAATAAATTTTTGTGAATTGTTTGAATCAGTTGTTGGACCTCTTACACCCCAACCATGAACACTGTTTGTACTAGTTCCGAGTTTTTTAAATCCGTTTGATAAATCCGGATTATTTGAAACTGGTTTGATTTTCGTTGGAGTGAAAGTATCTGTTGGTACAGCAATAGACTTATGTGAACTATTTGGGCCTTTTACACCCCAACCTTGAACATTATTTGTATTAGTGCTATGTCTTTTGTATTTGTTTAATGAATCTGGAGTATTTGAAAGTGGTTTGACATTTATTGGTATAGGTGTGGCTGTAGATGCAGTAGTAGAATTAGGCTTTTTAAGCCAGTCAAACAAATTATTTGTTGAAATATTGTTTTTTGAAACCAGGTTTGCTTTTTCTTTGTTTTTTGAGGTTTTTGCCTTATAGTTTTCTGGTTCTTTAATTTTAGTATATTGACCACCACATATTTGTTGATGTTTTTGCCACCAATAATCATTTGGACCTGGTGCACGATTCATAGCTCTACGTACTATTCCAAAATATGGAGCTCTTTCTCGACAAGGACCATTACATCTCCACCAATGTTGTTGGTACAGTTTAACTTCATCATTAAAGCTATGATATATCTACAAAAACAAAACATTTTTATTAAGAAATATTAAAATCAACACATTACCTTAATTATTTTTTTATGGATACATACAGTTATTTTTGTTCCAGCTTCTTTATTTATTCTGTTCATATGTTTACAAAACTCTGGGCCATGTCCATCTCTATCACGATTGTTGTTTGTGAGAAATAAATATCCATGGATCATTTCATGCTACAATCCAAAATGTACATTAATACAATTTAAAGTAATAAGTAGCCCTAATATTTTATAATGTTTTGAAACTGTTCCCAACTGTTCTTCATACCTCTTAAGATTAGCTTTGATTTTACATTATATTAATGATTATTTAAATAATTTATAATAATGAAAGCTTACCAATAGAGTTTCTACAAGATCTTTCCTTGGTCTAAGTTTTAATAATGGTGCACTAAGTGAAATTACACATTGTCGATTTCTAGGATGAAAAGTACATACACCAGCACAACTATAATAATAAAATTAATGTATAAGTACAAAACAGATAATGTATACGTATATGAACAATAAGTTGTACAATAATTGTTTACCTTGTCATTCTAGGGCTCCATTTAACTTCTACAGGCAGTAACACATTCCAAAAGAACCGTTCATTAAATTGCATAAATAGTGTATAAATATTGGGAGTTGGATCAATTAGTTCCAAAGTTTGATCAATTAAGGTTCTTGGTTTGTAATTTTCTTTATTCTTCTAGAAACATATTTAATTATATTAAAAATAAACTTGCAATACTAAACGACCGTTTTCATTATTTTGATGAACTAAAGAACTTACATTCTTAGGTAAAATTGCATTTTCCGTCAGTCCAAAGTAATTGTCTTCTTGGTATAATTTACGAGCTAATTCAAAATCACGAGATTCTTGAGACTTTATCATCGTATACGAGTAATAATTCTTTATGAAACGGACACAACGTACATATAAATAGAAAGATAAACAAACAGTAAAGGAAGTAAGTATAGAGCATTCAAAATATTTGAGTTTAGTACAAGTATACCAGTTTTTTAATTACTTATATAGATAATGAACACATAGTAAATTATTAATAGAAAAACAAAATTATTGTTTGTAACCTAGTCATATCACAGAGTATTTTTACATGTCTATTATTTTACGCAGTGAAACGCATGTAGCTCTGTACACAAATAATTGGTCGGTTGTCTGTATTGGTCGATATGTCTAATCTACCACCAGAGTGCTTTGAATAGCAGATAATTCTCGCAAGTTCTTCCGAAAGTACTTGATTCCTGTAAATAGGGAGTTTAAAAACATAATGTCTGCAAGAGTAATCTTGACAAGTTTTTCTACTAGTAGATCTACAAGTAGAAAACTAGTAGAAAATTCGAATTCGTTTACTTTCACTGTTCCAAAAATATTCATTTTTCAAATAAGTAAAAAAATAGCTGTACGAGCATAACTTTTATTTATTACATATTGAATGTTCCAATCCTTGATTTTAATCACTTTTAGTAATATGCGAATATCATTGTCCTGAATAATTATGATTATAGGAGAAAATGTTTGATTTTACATATAAAAAGTATTCGTACAAGAACTATGTGAATCGAATAATTTTAAAAAAGGAGAAGAAGATTGTGAGAATTTGTTATTTTACATGCATACATAATCAGAAAATTGAGAAACGAAGTCCGTAACTTTTAAATTATCTAACTCGTGGCTCATGTCTTTCGTCATGCCACACGTCAGCTACAGTGCGCCCTCTGCTCGTCCTCTCGTATTTGTATATATGATGTGGATGGAGGATTGGCTTATATAAAAATTGTATTAGGTTAATCATACGGCACGTAACGTATCACAATAAAATATCAAAATGGTAAGCATTCGCATGTTATTGAATTCAAATCATTGTCACTATATCTAAATCTCGAAAGGTTATTTACAGCAAGGCCGTGCCGATGCACTTGCCACAGATGTCAATCACCGCTCACGATTGTTGCTAAAATGAATTGAAAATTGAAATAATTACACAATTAAATGAATTGTTGTTGTTTCAGGTACTTATCGCTGCAGCCGTCTGCACTAAAGCAGGCAAAAGTAAGTAATGCTTCTCATCTTTGACCGCACCTGTTGTGTGTGTGTGTGTATGTGTGTGTATGTACATATACGATTGTGTGTACACTCACTTACTTAGTATTCACACGATCATAATTGTCAAATAATTACAATCTTTTATTTTGCTTAATATAAGCACTCCTTTCTCTGGATTATATGAATACATATGAAATGTTGTTTCCTAAAAGTTTAATATTTGCTATATTATAGCATAAGTTAGATAGTATTTTATCATCCAATTTTATATGTTATTTCACAGAAAAAAGAATTTCTCCCAATGTATGTACAATTACTTTTTCAATTTTATGATATGAATAATTGAAATGTTTAAATGTTTAATTCAAACAGAACTCTTCAGAATACTGCCATTGTTTCTAAGAAATATTTCAAAGTGGAATATTAGGCTTGAAATAGAGATAATTAAAATTTTCATATAAGCAATGTTCCCAATATAAAGTTGGTTTATTAAAGTTGTAAAAATAAAAAATGATATTCTTTCAAAGATATAAATATGATCATGTTACTTCAACTTTTTGTAAATCTTAAAGGAAAACACATATAGCAGAGTAAAGCCTTTTTTGTATAATATTAATGAAAACAAGTACTACATTTCTTATGTGAATTGTATAAATCATTTCTGATTGATAAAGATATGATCTTTTGATTAAAACTATTAAGTAGAGTAATTTTATTTAAATTTCAGCTATTATTTCTCGTCAGTTCGTTGAAATGACTAAAGCTAGAATAGAAGGTTTACTTGCTGCATTTCCAAAATTAATGAGTACTGGAAAACAACATACATTTGTAGAAACAGAATCTGTGAGATATGTCTATCAACCTTTGGAAAAAGTGTATATGCTACTGATTACAACAAAAGCTAGTAATATATTAGAAGATTTAGAAACATTAAGACTTTTTGCAAGAGTTGTAAGTATACCTTAAATATGAAGCCTTCCAAAGTAAATTTAGTTAATAATTTTCTACAACATACTTTTAGATTCCAGAATATTGTAATTCAATAGATGAACTTGAAATAGCGGAAAACGCATTCAATTTGATATTTGCATTTGATGAAATAGTTGCATTGGGATATAGAGAGAGTGTCAACTTAGCACAAATCAGAACATTTGTGGAAATGGATTCACACGAGGAAAAAGTCTATCAAGCAGTGAGAATGACTCAAGAACGAGAAGCTAGAAATAAAATGCGTGAGAAAGCGAAGGAATTACAAAGGCAACGAATGGAAGCAAATAAAAAGAGTGGTCTTAAAAATCCTGGATTTGGTAATGCTTATGGTAACAGTGGTAACTTCACGCCAACTCCTAGCGTAGGAGATACCGCTAACTTCATGCCAGAACCAATTAGACCTTTGTATACACCGACACAGTAAGAAATAATATATATTTTCCCTTAAGTAATAAAACTACTTGCAGCCTAAGCAAGTTTTATCAAAATGTTATTCTCTTTCAAAGAAAAACAGCTAATACTGGACCAGGCGCGATGAAATTAGGAGGAAAATCTCGTGATGTTGATTCTTTTGTCGATCAACTAAAAGAAGAAGGAGAAAATGTTGTATCTACACCTTTACCTGCATCGGGTGCAAAACCAACATCGATTGCACCGCAGATAACCAATACAGAATCGTAAGAATTTATTATATTTGATAGTATGTTATTGACCGGTATAATATAAATATTCCTTTTATTTGAAGAGTTCACCTGCGACAAGAAGAGCGACTTAATGTACGAATTGGTCGAGATGGTGGCTTACAACACTTTGAATTACATGGTTTGGTTACATTACACATTTCGGATGAAAAATGGGGTCGAATTCGTGTACAGTTGGAAAATAATGATGCAAGAGGAATTCAGTTACAAACACATCCTAATGTAGACAAGGAATTATTCAGGTCTCGCGGTCAAATAGGTTTAAAGATTCCTACAAAACCATTCCCATTGAATACCGATGTTGGGGTATTAAAGTGGCGTTTACAAGCTCAAGATGAAACAGCATTACCTATTTCGAGTAGGAATCCATTACTAAATTGCGTTAGATAAGATGAATCATTGAAAGCTGAAAAGAATACCTCTGAGAGATACACATGATTATGGAGATTCATTTTAACCGAGTGAACATCTTAGGGCTATTCTTCTTAACTTGCAATGATATTGTTCGATTTGTAACAAAAAATAACCATTTATTTACTCTTTGAAACAGTAAATTGCTGGCCTTCCGAAAATGGAGAAGGTGGATGCGATGTCAACATAGAATATGAATTAGAACAAGTTAATCTTGAACTAAATGATGTTCAAATAAACATTCCGTTGCCCATGGGTTGCACTCCCATTGTGAGTGAATGCGACGGACAATATACGCACGAAGCACGACGAAATACACTTGTATGGTCTTTACCAATTGTTGATGCAACAGCAAAATCAGGTTCAATGGAATTCTCAGCACCCTCTTCTACCCCTTCTAATTTCTTTCCTCTTCATATCTCATTTTCATCAAAGACGTCGTATGTCAATATTAAGGTATGTCGAATAAGTAATTTAGTGGTTAATAACGTTTACCGTTTAATATCCTTATCATATGCCTCGTAATTTAATAATTTTTTTTATAAAATGACGAAAATTTATATTTTTTTGTAGGTATCCGAAGTTTTACTTGTAGAAGATGAAAGTCCTGTTAAGTATTCGGTAGAAACAGTTTTCTTTACTGATAATTATGAAGTGGTATAAACACACAGAAAATGATCAGTTAACCACTTGTGGTAAATGTATACAAGGATATTAAATTAGGCGATGTCTGTTGGAACAAGAGTGATAAACATTTTCAGCTTAATAATTTCATTCCAAATGACCATTATTTTCATTGATTAATGCATGAGTGCATTAAAAGCGGTACGCTTATATGTACCCTATGAACAATTTGTTCTATTTAGTATACGCCTAATGTGAAACTATTAAAGAAAACTGTACAAAGATATTTTATAATTGGTATAGAAAGAACATTGAAAGTTTTTTTCATATTTTACGAATTACACAATATTATATACAAATAAATTGAATTATCTTAGTTCTATTACAAATTTTTTAAATTAGTTCCTTATAAATTTTGTATCGTTACAGAACTCTTTAGTAAAATAGAAAATGAGGTATTACTGTATCGAGAAACATAGCAATATTTTTTTGTATGTTACATACAACATATATAAATATAAAGCCATAATTGCAGAAAATGATATATAATCATGTTTTGACGAAAGAATTCATTAAAACATATAATTGTATTCACTTGTTTTATTTTATTTTTTAATAGTATTATTAGAAGCATTTAATGTTTTATATTTTTCGTTCTTAAAAATGAAAACTATTAATATACCTTATTTCGCAAATATTAATAAGAAAAGTAATGATATATGGAACCAAAAAAAGAGGAAGATAAACATTTTAGAACACATTTACGTTACAGGTCCGCCTGCTTTTTTTTAAACACATTAATGTAAGGTACTATAAATGTTTGTATACATACATAAAAAATATTAATAGTTTTTAAAATGTTTTTTTTGGACCTTTATGTTAATAAGTCAAAAAATATTTACTACTAATCACTGATTAAATGTGTATAAATAATCATCAAATTATCTGTAAAATGTTTGTTCATAAAAATTGAGAATATAAATTTCATTATTACGTTCACTGATAGTGCATTCATTAAGAAATATGTATTATAAACAATTATACAGAAATGAAAATAAAACACGTTTATTGAAATGTTCAGATATAAATATTAGGTCTATATTTACAATTTTTAAAGGCTACGGAAACTTGTAATTATGGTTTACTGTAATATATCAGGTGATACATTTATCACTTGCTGTAATAAATGATTTTCAATAACTGCTTTAGCTGAAAGAAATTGATTGATGGTTTGTTTAAAGTAATGAGTGCAATATTTTATTAATATTTTTATTAGAATAATTACTTACCAGTTAATGCATTATTTAATACTGCTGCATGATAAGCACTTATGTTATGTATGTTACGACGCGTAATATCAGCTCCCCTTGATAACAATTCATAGCAAACATGAGGATGATCACCATGTGCCCCATATATCAATGGTGTATTACCTTCCTACATTATTTTGAAAGAAATTACGGTACAGTTTTTATTTAATAAGAGCAACCAATCTAGTACCTCATCACTTGCATTTGCATCTGCACCATGGTTCAGCAATAGTTTTACAACATCGTGATGTCCATATGCTGCTGCTAAATGTAAAGGTGTTTCCCCATTGAGACCTCGATAATTTTTATTAGCTCCAGCTTTAAGTAATTGTCTTGCACTACCTAATTGGCCATATCCCGCAGCCCACATAAGACCTGTTAAACCTTTTTCGTCGGGTGTATCTACAGTACCTTTACCATAAATCATTAATATAAAAGTACACTTTGAAGAATATACTTTGAACAACGCTTTTGCTTATGTTTAAAAAAAAAATGTCTCTCTCTAATATGTTTATATTTTCTACGCAGACTAATTTCTTTTATAAAAATTGGCAAAAATATTGTTCAAAGTGTGTGTGCTTTTAATATATCCTGAAGAACATTTGTATTAGACATGTTTTAGAAAAAATCCTCAAGTATCATATTGAAAAACAAAATTACACGTTTAGGGTAACATACTTGGATGGATGTGATCAGGAGTGATTTCACCTTGACCAGCTAATGTATGAAAGGTAATGTCACTACCACCATAAAGTTGAGGTATTTCAGTTTGTGTGTTACCTCTTTGTAAATTTGTGAGCAAAGTAGGAGGCTAAAAGGAGTTTTTGGATGAAAATGATGCATCTTCTACTTAAATACTTTAATCATTGCACACACAAAAATTTACCTTGTACGGTTGAAATGCACTCATTCTTGTAGCATCTTGCCATGCTCCTGGGGCCCAATGCCACTTATTTTCTATAGGTTCAGTTTTACATTCTATATTTACATTTTCTGGTTTACAAATTAAAGGTCTTGGTCTGATACCAATTGTTGATTCTACTTCATCACATGCAATATTCGTAGTTTCAGTTGTAGTATCGTTGGATTCTTGTTCTCCTTCATCATCCTCCTCTTCTTTCAGAATAAATTCGGAATGAATTTGATTCTCCATATCTTCAACAATCATTCAGCAATGATTTACACAAACCAAATGTCATTTAGTAAAATAAACACAACTGATAAAATATTATTAAATTTATACATTACAGAGTAATTTTATATTAATATACTATCTTCATCCTATTCGACTGTAACACTATTCGGCTTTTCAAATCATTTATTTATATATTAAATATTATAGGTCATATTAGATATTGATAAATTAAAAACTTACCTTTGTAAGTTATTTTGATTCTTATAACCTAAGAAACGTCATTCACTATTTTCTTTTTATTTTCTTATATGTAGTCATCTTTATGAACGATCTTACAGAAAGTTAAAAAAACATTGTGAAAAATTCCCATATAAAGATTATATTTTTACCATTGTTTATACATTTTGCCATCATTTTCTCTGATTCTGTTTACAATACCCATGAAAGTACCGATACCCTTTAAATGTTCGAGCAGACAATCTTTACAAGAATTCGGATTTAATTAGATGATTCGAAATTAACGGCGTATTAAATTATATGAAAACATAATAAATTATCGTTCATCATATAAAATGTCATCAGGATCAGTGAAAAATAAAATGGGCTCACAATTTGACAAAGGCTTCTAACAACACTAAGTTATCTATGTAAAGCTCGTCATACAAGACTGAATTTAAAAAACTTAATTGTAACTTATTGTTTAATCTTAATAAGATATTTATTTCAAAGTAATTTCATTACTTTAATATGAGCAATAGTTTAAGATCTATAATATTTAAAAAGGTATAATGTTTTACTGTCATTCTTTCTAAATTGTTCATGTTCTTTACATCTTCTTTTATAATTAAGTTTGTATTCGTGATTGTAAATCTTACAGTTATTGAATATTTGTAGTAAATTTCTGATTAAATTTATTTGTTAGCAATCATGCAACACATAATTTGTAGGTTATAAAAAGTTTCATTATTATCCCGTTATTTTAATAATTAATAATAAGTTCATTGAGTGCAAACTGTTATATTTTAATAAATTGTGCTCCAAATTTGTTTTATAAAGATTTTAAATATTTATTAATTTTCTCAAATAAATACAATATTACATGCAATGAAATTCTGATTATTTCTTTTTGTAGGTTACGCAACCATTACAAAATGTAAACAATGCATATAAAAGTAAAATAATGTCCGAGTTAAAAGTTAATTTGAATAACTCAAACAACATGTATTGCTTTACACTTCCTTTAAAATCAGAACATTATAATATTTCAGATGAAGTTCCAAATATTATAAAGAATGATTTGGAGGATACTTTTGATAATGTTAGAATAGAAAATAACACTATATTGTTCAATATATTAAGAGATAAGTATGTAAAAACAATTCTAGAAAGTAATCATTCTGGTTTAATACCACCATTACTCATAGATAATAATAAACATGTTATAGTAGAATTTAGTTCACCAAACATTGCTAAACCTTTTCATTTTGGACACTTACGTTCTACAATTATAGGAAATTGTATTGCTAACATAAATGACTTCTTGCACAATAAAGTTAAAAAAATAAATTACTTGGGAGATTGGGGTACACAATTTGGTTTGGTTCAATTGGGAATAGAATTAGCAAATATTGATGATATTCAAATACAAAAAGATCCTCTCAAGGCTTTATTAAAAGCATATGTTACTGCTAATGAATTAGCTTCTTCTGATCCAACGATAAGCGAGCGTGCTAGAGATATATTTACACAGTTGGAACTTGGTGAAAATACTTATTATAAAAAATGGCAAACGTTTAAACATTACACTGTCCAGGAGTTGGAAAAAACTTATAAAAGAATCAATGTTTCTTTTGATGAGTATCATTGGGAGTCTATGTATAGTGCTATAAATATAAAACACATTATTAGTTTGATGGAGGAATTACAATTGTTAGAATTGGATCATGAGGATAGAAAGGTGATACCTATAACTGAATCAAGAAATATTCCAATTCTTAAGAGTGATGGTTCAACCTTATATATGACTAGAGATATTGCTGCTGCTATTGACAGATTTGAAAAATATAAATTCGATGCCATGTACTATGTGGTGGATACTGCTCAAAACGATCACTTTTTAAGTTTAATAACAATTTTAAATAAATTGAAACTACCTTGGGCAAATAAATTAAAACATGTTAAGTTTGGTAGAGTTATTGGAATGAGTACAAGGAAAGGTACATCAGTACTTTTAAATGATATTTTAGATGAAGCAAAGACAATTATGAGAAACAGACAATTGAATAATACTAGTAAGTTAATAGCACTTATGGCTATAGATTAATGTAATTAAATTATATGATTCATCAAGTTTTTAAGCTTTAAATACTTAAATTTCTTCTCAATGATATTTATGTATAAGAAAATCGAATTGTATGCAAATATCTATATAATTATTTTTTTATTTCAGCAACTAAAGTTGTTTTAGATGAATCTGATAACACTTCTGATATTTTGGGCATTTCTAGTGTTATTATTCATGACTTAAAACGAAGAAGAACAAACGATTATAAATTCAATTGGGACTTAATATTAGATGTGGGTTGTTTTTATAAACTACAATTCTGATTAGATATTATTTGATATTGTATTATTTATTAATCATAGATAATATGTACCAATATTAGATGAAAGGCGATTGCGGAGCAAAATTGCAATACACTCATTGTCGTTTAACTAATTTGGAATACAACAGTGGTGCTACTTTAGTGGCAGAATGCAATCCAAGCCTTCTAAAGGAAACAGAAGTTGATAATTTAATAATATTAATCAGTAAATTTGACGAAGTAATTCTTAAATCTTATGAACAATTAGAACCATGTATACTAACGGTATACCTTTTTCATTTATGGTCAGTATTACTACATTGAATAAATAAGTAATATTAGAATTTTCAACATATATGTTTCATACGATTCTTTGTACTATAAAGACAGTTTTCTTACAGTCATGCTGTCGACAAAGCATTCAAAACATTAAGGATTAAAAATCAACCACCAGATTTAGGAAATCAAAGACTATTGCTGTTTCATACGGCAAAAATTATTCTCGCAGAGGGTATGAAATTACTTGGTTTAACACCTTTGAAGAAAATGTAAGAAAATATTCCATTGGCCTTTCGATTAAAAAATGTATAGTTTAAACAAATATTCTGTAGGATTAAATATATAGTTGACCTTAATGATAAATTATAATATTCCATATTTATGTAATGTTTATTACTTTTTAGAAATAATAAATCATAATTATCGTAATTATTATTTCTATTATCTCACTCATACGATAAATTTGAAAGCTTACAAATAGCTCGAGTTTAGCAAAATTATTATTAATTAGTTAATTTTCATTATTACCCTCAGGGGCTGTAGCTATGTTCGATTGTAGTTACAGTACGCGGGTTTAGCAATCCCGAGGTACCCAAGATATAGGAGGGTCAGTGGGCCCCAACAGATTATTGGCATCCCTAATGACGATCAACTCACTCTTTATTTTGTCTTCATAAAAACATTGACCTTATAATATATCAAATGAATATAAATCGGAATAGTTGAAAGATATTTTATAAGAATTTACTGAAATCTATTTATATAATTTGATAAGGTACAGGAAGTTAGAAAAACAATATTAACGTTTCTTCCATGTGAATTTTCTTCGAGCGCCTTCCTGTCCCCACTTCTTTCTTTCACGTCTTCTCCAGTCCCTTGTTAGAAGGCCAGCTGAATAATAATAATTGCGTGTACATTATTTAATTATCGAAGCAGTTAACAATTAAATTTCTGATTACATAAAGTTGACTAATCATTTTCTAATTAGCAAATCATTTCGAACGAACTTTGTTTTGGTAGGCTTTACTGAAAGCTAAGAATATTTCGTCAGATTGTTTCCTTGGGATCACACTTATAGAAAATGCGAAAAATATTTTTTTAATTATAAGTAGCAATGATAACAATTATACAAGCAAAGATTTTCTTCATGAAATTGTATACAATTATTATCATTCGATGTTTTGTATTTACAAAAAAAAAAGGAAACCTATTCAGAAATTTTTGTAGTGTGCCAATTCAACTTCTCGATTCATTCAAATAATCAAAGCGTTACTGAATGAATTTAACGAGTGACCTCATTGCCACTTTGCGAATTACATCTAGAAATTAATGCTTCAATAGAGAGCGCGCAGTAATAATTGCATCCCAGTTGTTACGATAAATTAACAATACAGAATTCGAGAATTCCATGGCCTATTTGTGGTAAACTGACTCGGCAATCGTTCTTGAAGTAAACTAAATCTATACTTTATTACCCAATTAAAATTGTCAATATATAACATAGGATAACGTGTTACGAAAAAGAACTTATTTACTAAATACTTAGTAGTTATTAGAAAACATTGTAGCTCTTACCAAGTCTCATTTTTTCTACCATGTCAATATCGACAAAGTTTCGAAGCCCCTGTGCAATACCCCAACGAATAGCACCTGATTGTCCAGTTGGTCCCCCACCATTAATGTTTACTTCGATATCAACTTTGTTGCTCATATTCGTAAAAATTAATGGGAATATAACCTGTAATTCAAAATAAGCTACGTTAATTATGTACTGGATTTACTTAAAAATCTGCGAAGCCAATACACGACGCTTGATTCATAAATTACTGATTTCAAGTATAACACACACAAAAATACCCTTGTTCCTTTTCAACCAATCAATTTGTACATGTTATTTGATATACAGATTTCACGTTTAAATAATATACGTGCTTTTGTTTTTCCACTTTTCGATCTCTCTTTGCAAAATTGAGCAATGTCGCGATTATTTATTATTTACGACACTTGGACTTTGTGTATGGGATTCTGTTTAGATATATAATACTTATGTAATATAAACGTTAAAATTTACAAAACAGAATTAATATGGAGAGACAAAAAACAGAGAGGAGTGGTAATATTAATTAAAAACGGAGAGAAATGTACATGTGAGCATGGAACGTAGAAATAATAATTGTTTTCTAAATTTTAAGGCGTCTATTACATAATATTATATATTTGTTTCATAAAATATCAGAATGGTACATCTTAAGAGTTTATTTTATAAAAAGGAGTATTTGAAATTTTGTATAACTAACATATTTCATCAGCTAAAACAATCCAAGTGAGCGTAGCATTTAACGAGCTTAAGTATTATACAAACATCCTTATTGAGAGAACAACAATCTAACGAAATTCTAAATATTAATTGCTAAATTAGGTCATTAGATTCTTATCAAATATCAACTGTTCTTATTTCTTACAGTTATAATCGTTCATTTCTTACAGTTCATAAATTCTTGCATCCACGGAACAGGCTGTCCAAAAAATAAAAAAAAACCCGAAATGCTAATGTCATTACTATCAACGTTAAGATTGCAGAATATTTCTCCTTTTCTACTTTCACTTCTAGACTTATTTGGTCCTACGTGTCGCTTGTCATGATATTTAAATTTAAGACATTTGCATAGAAAGTTAATTTATTTCGTTGTATTTACAGGGTCGCACTCTCAATGATATACTTCGTCCAGAAAGAACTAAATTCTGACAGGTATCTCAGTACCTGCGTATCCATCTATCTTGTATAAATACATATTTATTTAATAGCATTTAAAAGAATAAGGGAAATCTGCTTCGAAGTTGTACTTGACAAAAATTCTAAATTCCCTCAGTTTTACCAATTACACGTTACTTGAGAAATATGTAAAATTGTGTTTTAGGATATAAGTTCAAGAACTTAACTACGACACAGTTTCATAATAACAATTTCCATTATTCTTTTAAATACGGTTTCGTTTCGAATCTTAATTAATTCTTCCGTATTTTCTTTATTTACATGCCCTTTCAGTCGGTCAAGTTAAAACATTCGTAACGTCAATGCTAGTACCTAGGAAGCGTCAATTTTTCTTTTCCTTTGTCAGATTTTTGATAACGTCCTCCAGGATTTTATTGGTGTCTAACAGCTGATCCTTGAGCGTCTTAATGGTGTCTTCGTAGGAGTGCAGCTTGTTAGTTAAATTTTCGATGACCACTTGCAAATTGCAGTCGGAGAACTCCTCGTTCTGTTGTCTCATCCGCATCACGTGATCGCTGAGGCTGTCGTTATCGTCGTTCATAAACGGTATATTTTTCTGGGCAACCTCGTAAGCCGCTTTCAAGATGTCCTTTGGCAATCTTTTCTCCAAAGGGTTCAACGGTTTCACCACCAGGACCCTTTTTCTGTTCTCCACGTTGATCTTGTGGTCCGACATCCACTTACGAAAGGCATAAGGTATCGAGCTGTTGTGAAGAACCATCTCGGTGAAGAGGATCAGCTTGGTCTGCCGCACGAGTTTCGTTAGGCCCGCGTGGTTCCTCAACCCTTGGATGTCGTGGACGGCGATGCCGACCAGAAGGTTCATAAGGATCACGGTGACGAACACGATGAACAGAGTGAAGAGGATTTGGGAGCACACGGACAACGGATGGTAAATAACGAACGAGCCCTCTGTTTCGTCGTCGATCTGGGTGATGAGTCCCTCGAAGTCCAGCTCGCCCGCCATCATCGCCAGGACTTTGATGAGACCGGTGAAAGGGTTGCCGAAGGACGGCTCTCCGACGAATATGACGCAAAAGCTTACGGTGAAACCGATCAGCAGCCCGGAGTAAGCCAGCAGCAACTTGGCGAACTCGAACTGTATGTGGGTGAACATCGCCACGTAGGTGCCGAACGCCGGCAGCTGGCCCACCATCAGCATCAAGTTCGTCCAAGCGCACAGTATCGCGAACGCTCCCACGTAATTCTGCCAATCGTAGGTGCGACCCGTGTAGATAAACGACGTGACGAACACGCTGATTATAACGACCCCGTCCAGCACGTTGTCAATGTTGGAGAAGTACTGTTTCGCCGACGTGTACACCATGAAACCGAATATCTTCCTAGGTATGGAGATGCAGGTGAATATCAACAACAGATACCACTGGATCTCGATCACCGGTCTCCTGAACAGAAATCCGGAGAGACGCTTGCTACCGCAGATCTTCGAGCTGCTGGTCTCGTCGTAGTTGTAGCATTTGTAGGCCAAAGCCGTGAGGACGTAGGTGGTCATGCAGATCACGGTCATCGCGTACAGGAGGATCCTGAGCAGATAGAATTTCCGTATCTTCTCCCATTTGAGATGGAGAAAAGCCATCACCAAGGGATGCGAGAGTAAGTCTTTGCGGCGTTCCTGGACGAAGGTGTTTATGAAGCTGGTCTCGCATTGGTTGCCGCTGGGGAAGAGCAGGTCGAAGTGCAGCCTCATCTCGAACTCCCTGTTGTGAGGGACGGGACGCCGGAGCGTTATGGAGGCGTCGAGCCTTTGTCTGAAGACCTGCAGGGATTCCGGTATTTTTCTGAGTATGATGTTCAAGGCGGAAAGACCAGCGCTGGTGGTCGCGCTGACGTCGGCGCCGGCCCAGATCAGGACGTCCACGCAGTGGGATTGCTCGTTCAACGCGGCTACGTGAAGAGGAGTGAAACCCGTTCTGTCCGCGGCGTTCATCGACGCTCCGTGCTTCAACAGGATCTCCACTAGCTTGGCGGAGGAACGGGTGGTCATCACAGCGAAGTGAAGAGGAGTCCTGTGAGCCCTGTCCACGGCGTTGGTGTTGGTACCGGGCGATTCCAGTAGCAATTCCACGCACTTCATCGACTGAACGAAGCAAGCCACGTGCAACGGTGTCTCGCCCATGTGGTTCTTCTCGACCACGCTGGCACCTCGTTCCAGCAACAATTTCACGATCTCCACCGCGCCGGCTCTGATAGCGGAGTGCAACACGGGCTCCGGGATCTCCTGATAAAGATACGTGCTGGATTTCGCTCCGTTATCGAGGAGAACACGCGCCGCCTCTGGAGATTTTCCGAGGACCGCGAAGTGAAGGGCTGTGTAGTAATTTATCGGATTTCTGCAATTTACGTCGACGCCCTTCTTGATCAGGTGCTCGATGCACGCCACGTTGCCGCTCAACGAGGCCGCGAGAATCGCGTTCATACCTGTACGAGGCTCCGTGTAATCGAGATTTACCCCTGTCTGCTCCAGTTTCGGCAACAGATGGGTCAGACCGCGGTAACAACACCACACGTAAGCGATGTTCCTTATCCTTTCACCCGACGGTAACTCCGGCAACGTGTTGCATTTCTCCAATTCGAACAAAAGCTTCATTTCCGCGGCGGTGACGATCGACCACATTATCGATCGCAGATCGTTACCGTTGATCTGTGCCTGCCTGCACACGTCCAGATTGTCGTAGAAGAGAGACTCGTCGGCAGGCGGGGGCGTACCAGCGTCGATTTCTACATGGTCGTTCGCGGAGTCGGTCAGTGGGGTATCGTTGATCTCGATCTTCTCCGAGTAGCTATTGTGCCTATACCTGACCGATCTGAAGGTGGAGGCTAACCTCGTGGAAAGGTGATCGTTGGATCGATCGTTCAAATTCGACAGGGATACGTGCCTCGTTTTACCTTCGCGAGCGGGCTGCACCCTCAACGTTTGCGTCGTTTTATTATTATTAGTCTCGTTAACGGTTCCCGTGTCCGTCCTCCAAGATTTCTTTCCCTCGTCCAAGTGCAGAAACGAACGTCGATTTTTCAGTCTCGTCAACGAATAATGTCTCGTCTTTCTTTCGTGGCTCGTCAACGATTTCATCCTCCTCTGGATCGTCTTGCCGACATTTTCGCGAGCTTCTTTGTCCCCTTCCTCAATCGTTCGCCAGCCATCGTTCTCGTCGAACGAAAGACGACGTCCTCTTAAACTCGTTAACGAGTAACGCCGCAATATTTCGTCGTCCGTCATCGACGGCCTTTGCACGGTAATTTTCGGCACATTGCTGGACCCGTCCTGAGCTCGGCTACCCTCCATACCGTTCCCGTGAATTTCCCTTTTAATTTTTTGCCCGCCGTGCGCGCCAAGTCGAAGAAACTGCGACGTAACACACAACGGCACTCTCTACTATCGTGGATCTCGACGAAGGAACGTTCCAATCTTCATACCTCGGCCTCACTCTTTTCTTCGTTTATCACGTCACGTCCCAAAGTCATTTGGATCACTTTAAGAGAATGCTCTCGTCATTGCGGTACACGCGACCGTTGGTGTCACTCGCCCGAGTGACTTATATCGGTCGTCTAATATGGATTCGTTCTATATATAAGCCGGATAGGAAAAGACACGCTTCCATTCTGCAGACAGTCCTCCTTCGAACGTAGACCTTGAACTTAAAAACTAACGGGACGGAGGTCGCATCTACCGGTCGCTTATCGGGATAAATAAACTTTCTCCGGCTCGAATCCAACGAGATTCTCTTTTCTATCGAGCACGGCTGACTCGCGACCTTTTTTTTCTGCTTTAGACAGATCGTTCGTGTTTCGATTTCTCTTCGGATGTCCCTTTTCAGCTGCTGGAAAGGTTCCTCCTCTTCGATCCTCTTCCGTTCACCAATTTACTTCATTTTGTCGCTACAGATGAATAATTTCGTTCGTCTCGCATGTCCACTTTTCTTATTGCCGTGTTTCTTCTGGCAGTGACTTTCGAAAAGAATTGTCACGATTAAAGATGATTCGTCGACAGTCATTTTTGTTTAAGGAACAGTTAGTTACGAGCTAGTCTATCGCCTTACAGAGATACTGGCAAACGAATCACACATACGGAATAATTCCAACTAATTTTATCAAGTTCGATTATGCAACCACGCTAATTATTAAGACTGGTTACCTCAATCGTTGATCGATCGTTATTGGTGTTAAATGGGAGCGGATTTCTTGTAACATTGTGCGAAAATCATCGACTGAAGGTGGAGCTCATTTTTCATGCACATGAAATTACTGAATCGCGCGAAGCTAAGGAAAAAATAAATAATGGAAATGAGACTTTAGGCTTTTAACAGATGTTAAACGTTCGTAGCTTCGTAACAAGTGTGTGTGTAGTTGGTATGCAATTTCCAAATATTTTCGGGAACCTCGGATTTGATGTTTAAATTGAAAGAAAAGTAACATACTGTCGGATCCTTGACAAATTCTGTTTTCGTGAGAAAATTCTTAGTATGGAAGCATCGCGAGTGTATTTACGTTTATCTTATATCTAAATTATATAATTGCATCCTTTTTTATCGACTCGACTTATTCGCATTACTTAATTATTTCTTCAACGATAAGCTTCCGTTAAATTGTTTGCAACTGGCCGGAACGAAGGAAACTTCGAAAGACTCGCGAAATTTGAAATGCGAGTTTTATTCTTTCGTTTTACTCTTTTCAAGAACTGTTCAACTGTCAACTGTTGTATTCGATTTTTAGGATACTCTATAGTAAACTCTGATTACTCTTAAATCGTACAATTTATTGTGCACGCATATTTGGAAATAATTATTCAACAATTCTTCGCACAATAATCAGATGTACTTCATCTGTCATTACTTCAACGTTTTATCTTTCCATATTTTAACAAAAATCATGGTACAGTGTCTCAAAATTTCGAATTCGAACACATTATCTACCAGAAACCTATTCACAGGTTTTTATAAACGTATAATTTTAAAGTTCTTTTAATAATATACATTAACGCAGAAAGTACTTTTCCATGTCATAAATTTTTGTTTAAGTACAGTAGTAGTTAAAGTCCTAATGAAATGGCTTTATTCTCATTCTACAGTAGCCATTCTATTCCTCGCTGCTACCAGTTTGCAATGTTTATATACGATAAATGATCGCGTCGGTTACGAACTTCGTATAGTGGAAACAAATAATTCCCGATCACGAAAAATCTTCACTGACACACTTCGACAAAATTAGTTTTACTGGTTGGCTCGGCGTAACGCGTTGCCCTGCGTTTATAAACGCCCTCGACGATTATAAAAACACAGTTTAGGAGTGACGACACTTTTGCAATCCGACACGGAGAAAGCTGCGATCACAGAGATCTCGAAAACACGATACGATCGAGCGATGGTGAATTTAACACTGGCCTTCCGGAGCTGAAACTCCAGACGTTGCAAGAGCCCGCGCGGATATGAGCGTTTTTACGGATCCGCTTGGACTTTAAGATGGTCCGTAAAATCTAGACGCACTCGCGGACCTGAAGCTCAGCGTCCTTGTTCGGCTCCATCGTCATCTGTAATTGTGCTCTATCGCTACACGGCTTCTCCTAGGCGTACGTATTATCATTTTCTAGGAATTGGAACCGGTTTCTTTTTGAGTAACTTCCCGAGTACCTTGCGAATGCCAAAGGCCATATTTCAATATACCGTAGACCTAAAGTAGGTTTGCCGGCTTCGTCCAAGTTTATCAAAACTCGTGGCCTCCGTCAGTCACGTTGGACCGATCGATCGAGCGATACCGCGATGTTTTCGCAACGTTGATTTATCTATCGAGGTAATTCAAACATTCGACGACAAAAATGCTCCTCCAAGGGTGGAACGAATTCTTGTTTCTTTATACATCAGCATTTCTGCTCGATATGATTACAGGTCATCGTCTGAAGAGTTCTCCGAAAGTTGCTTTCAAATCTCGTTCTTGATAACGAAATACCGATATATAGTAAATATATACGTTAATTTACGTTTACTTTCTGTGTCTGTATATACGGTCAGTGTAATAAGTATTCGTACGGGAACCAGAAACCTCTTGTTTCTTTTCTCATTGATGTTATTTTAAATCGGTTGCTGTACAAATACTTCTTGCACCGGCTATATATAAAAATATGAATTTGCACAAATATACGCAGTCCAATAACGAGTATCAATGTAACTACCGAACGCGCGTCATTGAAACTAGTCAACAAATTTTTCAGCTACCTGAACAATATTCTTTGTCTATCGAATATTTGCGATACGGAACTATCGCATGACTAAGCGTATTCGTTGTGTCAATAACTTGGAATATCCTTCGAATATTTAATTCTCGATAGATTAACCGACGGAGGAGATTCTTGGAAACAGTTATCAAACGTTTTCGTAATTGAACTTGTTAGTGGCCGTTTCTGGGAAACATCCTCTGCAAACTATCGATCGAAGGAATGCGAATATTTTTCCGTTTCGTGACCATTGTTTTCTTTTTTGCGGCACAATCAGTTCAAAACAAAGCTGAGAGATTCGACGGTTAATTGCTCGACGTTAAATGCTTCATTTTGTAACTGAAATTCTAACTTCCGTTTAAGAAGTAAAGAATCAATATATGTATATATTCTTCACAGTCGAATGGCTCTTTTTAGGACATTAGTCGTTGATTAAATTTGATGTTTCGTAACGTTCATAATTCCTATTCCGTTTTATAAAAGTAATGCTTTTGTAAATGATTTGATGATCTTTAATATCTCGTATGCAACATTTAACAGGATGAAATTATTTTTTATTTCGTCGTTCTTCTTGTATTCTGTCCAGTCATTAGATCAGCGTTGTCATCTTCGCATCCGGGTTTTCCTTCTTTCGCCGTTAAGTGTACGAAATTAACAATTGATTCGCGGTGGTTTTTATTACACAACCTCCTACAACAATCTTCCTGGATCGGAGTTTGTAAATAAACCGTTAAATCGTGCCGATTAACATATCGATCTGAATTCCGGCTCCGTTCGACATCTTCTTCGTTTGGTACTCAAACAGATTGCGAAATGTGTTTAGGATTACCGAAATTCCGTATTTCCAGGCACGCACGAGATTATTGTGCAATAAAACACTTTTCGAAACTGCTGCGTAGACAACACAGGGTCGCAACGTGTATCCAAAACGGGGTCACTTATTTTTTCGACAAAGTACTTTAGATGACCATCCGATAATCGCCGTCGCTTTGCTCGTGTCGTGTTTAACAAGAACTGCCCCAAATTTTACATCGATCCGAACTTGAAATTTCCTAAATCGTTAATTTGAACCGATGTAAAATTCCTAGCATAATGTCTTATTATAGCAGCGCGGAAGCAAATTTTCTTTTGAAGGATGAAATTTGAATACATGAATATTTATGGTGAATTTCTCAGACTTGACCGAGAGTTTATTCTGTTAACGTTCCGATCCTCTAGTTTGGGATCGTTGTCAGAATTACAGAAATTAAACAAAACGGTAATCATTGAATTATAGAATATTTGTTTGTTTGTTTGTTTGTTTGTCCTTGAAAAGTTTTTCCTTATACTTTGATGATAACGGTACAGTAACTTCCTATTTACATTTTCTGATTAAACAATGAACGTGACTAACGACTGCGTTGTTTGCATAATTGCAAAACGTAATATATTATTAACGGATTCTCCTTCATACTTCCAATGAGTCATTTCCAATTTTGTCGGGAAGCACTCTCCCTCTAAAAAGACAATTTCTGTGTCGGAGATTTATGAATAAATTGACTCTTCTCGAAAGTTATTTATTTTTAAAATCATTTTTGGAACGAATATTCGAATATTTGTTTTATTATTCAATTCCACGACATCTTCTGACAGTTTCACTTAAATTTTATTTTCCTATCGGAGAGGTACAAAATTATTTCGTCATTAAGTATTATGTAAATTGTCTTACACGATAGCTCTTACAGTTTACATGTGTAAATAAATTACTTAAAATTATGTAGGCAAAACTTATCCAACGCGTGCAAACTCACTTAACACGTATTCAATTAAGAAACAATTTATTCGTATTTTTTCGTACAGTTAAATAAAAAATCAAAATATATTATAAATTACTCTTCACGTTTGAATTATTATTTAATCACATCTTATTTACAATCATTTTACACGGTTATTTACATAACGATATGTGTACAATATAACGTTTTCATTTTATGTGCATATATCAACGTATTATACTTACAATGGGTTTCTTTGAACATCATTGTAAGTTAATATGCAAAACGTGGACTTTCCTATGACTATCTTTCATGCTGGGTTTCGCGCTTGTTATTCATTCCTTTCTAAATACCTACGGACTCATAGTTTTCTTTTTTTATACAAGGATCACGTCAGACCTTAAAACAGAAATTAAAGAAACGCGCGAACTATCAATAAAACGATTCCATCGTCGAGAAAAATAGAATTACAGTCTTTTATACATTATGCTCTTCCAATTTTAATAAAAGAAATATTCGTATGTCCTTAACTGCTGACTTCGAACGCTTGAGATATTTTTAAAAGAAGCTGTTGTGGAATCATTACACATAAATATACACACAGTAATAATTAAGCTTTCAAATGGTAAAAAAAAACCTTTAAGAAATAGCGATTCAATACCTCGAAAATACAGTAGAAATATACAAGTGGAATATGTAAAAAAATTAATTTACAGTATTATGTACAATACGATTACATTATTAATATTACATTATATTATATTACAGTACGATATTAACTCTTAAAATGTCGATTACGTAAAGTATCCACCGTGCCAGTACAAATACTCCCGTGACTATTACTTTGTATATAATTTCCTTAAATTCCTATCTTTCCTCTATCAAACTGTCGCTTCTCCAAAAAGTCGGTGTCGATCGAAAGCTTAATTAATACTATGTACGTTTTCATTCGATTCACCAGTTACGCGAGTGCGATTACTCTCGCGACACGCTATAAACCTAAGCGTACAATTTCTTCTATGGGCAGTTGTTATTCAGCGCTTCTAAGGTTGATTTTCTCATCCGAAGTCTCTTCAGATGAATCGCTCGATATTTACGCGTTTGAATTCCATGAATTAAGGCACTGAATTAATTTAGCGTTATCCTCTTCTTTGCTCGTGTTATGCTGTTTGTCTGCAACCAGGGTCGTCATAAGATCCCGTAGAAGTGTTTGATTTCTTTCGCAGATCCTCTTGAGCTCCTCCAATTCTACTTTGGTCGTGGTATTCTCGACGAATACGTCTTCCTTGGGTGAACGAAAACGAATCGTCGAGTAAGGGTCATTCTTGAGATACGTGCACATCGTGCTGTTGGTCTTTCTGCTGCACAGGGTATCGCCAATATTTTTTCGCTCTTTGGCGACCTTGTGAGCGGCGGTCAACAAATCGCGCGGCAATCTGGTCTCTCTTGGGTTCAGAGGTCGAACGGTTAGACATACCCTCAGGGGCGACGGTATCAGCAGAGCCGTCCATCGTAAAAATTTGGTCAATCGTTTCGGCAGCAGGCCCCAAAAAAGTGCAGTCTCGACGTCGCAGATGAGTTTCGTCTGGCGAACGAGTTTTGCCAGTCCAGCTGTTTTTTGGAGGCCCTTTATATCGTGAACGGCTATTCCCACCAGGAGATTCATCAAAACAATGGTAACGAACAGAAGGAACAGTACGAACGACAGCTGAGCGGACACCTGGAGCAGAATCCAAGAAGTGCCGCCGGCGTCCGTGTGCTTGCCGTCCTCTTCTATAGGAAAGAAGAGATCCTCGAAGTTGAGTTCACCGGTCATCATCACGAGGACTTTGATCAGACCGATGTGCGGGCTGCTGAACGACTTTGACCGTGGGAAAATGACGCAGAAGCTCGCGGTGAAGCCTACCAAGAGGCAGGCATAGGCCAAAAGGAGCTTGAACACTTGCGCCTGGACGCTGGTGAACATCGCTACGTACGCCCCGAATATCGGCAGCTGGCCGATCATCAGCATCAGGTTGCTCCAACCGCAGAGCACCGCGAACGCCCCCACGTGACTCTGCCACGGGTACGTTCGACCCGTGTAGACGAACGAGGTGGCGAACACGCTCAGGATCATGCACCATTCGACCATGTTCTCGGCCTGAGCGAAGAACTGGCGAACCGACGGATACGTCGGAACGCTGGTCAGCTTGCGGAACGCCTCGAGAACGGTCAAGACCATCAACGCGTACCATTCCATCTCGAGCAGCGCGGGATGTCTGTAAAGGAAACCGTTTATACCGGTGGTATTTGCACACAATGGCGGCTGGGTAACATCTAATTGGCCGTGGGACTCGTTGTAACAGTTGTGCGCTAAAGCAGTCATTACCCAACCCGTGAGTATAAGAACGTAGAACAGGTAGAAGGCCAGCCTGCCGACGTAATACTTCCGGATCTTCTGCCACTTCAAATAGAGGAACGCCTGGCAAAGCGGATGCTCGAGAATCTCCTTGTAGCCCTCTTCCACGAAAGTGCCCAAGTACCTGATCTCTCCCTGTTGCTGGTGCATCAACAGAGGATGAAAGTCCAAACGGAGCTCCACTTCGCCCGTGGCGGTTTCGTGCTGATGAAGCGTGATCGACGCGTCCAGTCTCTGCTTGAAGACGTTCAACGACGTCGGGGTTTTTCGCAAGATGATGGACAACGCGCTGGTCCCGCCCTTCGTTCTGGCGCTGAGATCCGCGCCGTGCTGGATCAGTATGTCCACGCATTGGGACAGCTCGTTCAAAGCGGCGATGTGAAGCGGCGTGTAGCCGTATTTGTCGGTTTTGTTCACGTCGGCCTTCCACGTCACGAGATACTCGGTGACGTTGTGAGCCAACAAAGATCTGCCTAGAGCTAGGTGAAGGGCGGTTTTTCCGTCGTCGTCGCCGATGTTAGGATCACAGCCGCATTTCTTTAGCAGTATCTCCACGCACTCCAAAGAATGAGAGCGGCAGGCTACGTGCAACGCTGTCTGTCCTCTGTTATTCTCTAATGTAACATTTGCGCCGTGTTCGACCAACAGATCAACGTTTCTCGCGCAGCCAGACTCCGCGGCTAGGTGCGCGGCTGTGTTGCCCTTTTTTTTAGTAATCAGGTTTGGATCGCAACCGGCATCTAAGAGCGCCTCCAAGCAAGGATACCCTTTGTCCGCTGCGTGATGTATAGCGGCGTATCCGTTGTGGTCGAATAAGTTTATGGTTGGATTGTTCGGTGCTAGTAACTTCAACACGTTCGCGGAGTTCGACCTAGCCGCAACGTGCAGAACGGTCTCTCCCTGCGGTGATTTCTGACTGATCCCCAATTGACGGAAATACAGAGCTACCCTTGAGGCATCCCCGAAAGCAGCGTAATGAAACGGCGTGTTGTTTTTGTCCAGGTACATGTTAGCGCCGTTATCTAACAGATACTGCACGCCTTCCAAACAATTGCTGAACGCGCACAGGTGCAAAGGGGTGAGACCTTGCTTCTCTTCCGAATAGTTCAAATCCGCCCCGCACTTGTGCAGAGCAACGATAAGATCCATTCGGCCGATGAAGCAGGCGTACAGCAAAAGCGCGTTTATCTCGTGTATCTTGTACACGTTGGCGACACCTTTCAGATCATCCAGGTCCAGTTTGTTCGTTTCCAGGTCGCCTAACAGCTGGGACCGACCGCGCACGTATCTCATGTGCTCTACCAGAATATTCTTAATCGCATCTTTGTTGATCTGGAACGTGCAATTAAAGTCTTCCGTGCAGGAGCTTTCGCTGGTGCAGACCGAATAACAGTGAGGTTCCTCTATCGGGGGCGGCGGGCCGCACTCCAGGCATCGCTCTTCCGTGTACGAGTTCGCATCCGATTCCAAGGGCAGCGAGGTCTTCAACAACACCCATCGCGAAGGAAGCGTGGACGAGGTCGTGGACTTTTTCGACGGCAAAGATTTCGGATTGTCCTCCATGTCCTCTATCTGTCTATCGGAACGCGGCCAACTCCGAAACGCCTTCCCCAGAAGTGGATGCACGGACCAGGATAACATCCTTTGTTACCACTCTCGTGGCAACACTGGTGGATTCTAAAATTGAAAAACGAACTAAACCAACCATCGATAAAACGATTGCGGTGGACAGTATCCCTGGCCAGGCAATGAAAGTGATCGAAAGTCATCGTGCTGCTCAAGTGACGAGAGCAAAATTAGAGACGCGAACCGAACAACTCTTGCCCTCAGGGGCTGTAGCGGTGTTTGCAGCTACAGTACGGGCTTAGCAACCCCGAAGTACCCGAGCTAGAGAAGAGTTGTCAAACGACACAGAGATAACAAGTTATGCAAAATAGTAGGCCCAATCGGTCCTCATAAAGATAAGAAGTTATGCACTGTAATGTAAAGTGGCCAGCCACAGATAAGAAACGCAGAGTTATGATACGATTGTGAAATGTAAACGAATTGTTAAGAAGCATTATTAGTATTAGTAATAACCACTTGTAATGAGGTTCAACATTTGAATAGACAGCGTACCGTACCGAAAAACTATGCGCCAAAACAGAAAAGATCTACTAAATTTGATTTCGAGCCTAGAGTCGATCCATGATTTCGCACAGTGAGAGACAAATCGATAGGACACTTTTCAATTTACATGTGTTGAAGAATTAAAACAAGAAATTGTGCATTTTATAACACCCTGTATATTGTATCTTATCTGCCTATACATATACAGTGAAAGTCATTCTTAGGAGATATATTTGTACAAAGTTACAGAAGTGAATGTAACTGAATAGTCACTGAAGTTTTCCGGACAAAATGATAAGATACTTAAAGTATTTTCGTGAGTATCAGCGTCGATCATATTAGCTGCTAAGATATGAAAGTACCAAATAAAAATTATTTTAGTTAGACGAATTAACTCAAAACTCGTAATTGAATAATTAGTAGATATCCTCTAACAAACAGAAGATCTTCTTAATATGACAATAATTACATTATATTTTCAGAAATAATTATAATTTTCCATGGACTGTCCTATAATCTTGTCTAATATATTCTATATAATAGACATTAATTGATATTCAAGAACGTTGTTATATCAGTTTAAATTTAGTAAAGGAATAGTTATTCAACAAATTTGGAAATTACTATTGTTTACTATGTAATAATATATATAATACGTTAATAGTTGAGAGCACTTTATGTCCTGTTATGTTTAATAATTCGAGTAATGAAATATTTGATTATGATAATGATTGGTAGCAAGGTATGAGAAGTATAAAAGAAGATCTCTGATGACGTCTGAACTGGTCCGAGACGCATCGCATGAGGCGGGAATGTCAATTGGAAAATCGGACACATACATTGATAACTATGAACAGTCGCATCGTTGCCATTAAACTGATATTATTTATATACAGTTCGAGTCCTTCGTGTGTCGAACACTTGAACATTCTCGACATTCCGTTTCGATTATAAAAACAGAACAAAGACATCCAAGATGACGTTTCAGAATATTTCACATTCTTAAACGATTAGGATCAACCATGTAATTCTTCCAGCTAAAGAAATACTTTGAAACAGGATGTCGAATACAAAGTGTTACGAGCTGCTTTCTTACAAACTAATGAAGAAATCGACTTCATTTTTGTTATAGTTAAATGACACCAGGTCCGATCCTTTAGCGCGCAACGAAATTTTTTAGGGTGACTGTTACAAGAAAATTCAAAGTCACCTTCGAAGTAGTTTATCATCGATACCTATGTCAATCGATCATATCAGAAATATCTCTTATAGAGGGTAAACAAATTTGTCGCATTGTTTACGTTAGCTATCAAATACTGTAAGCAACTGAAACAAATCAAAGATATCCGTATCTCCTCAAAAGATATTTTATGTAATTCAACGTAACACTCTCTTTAAATTCAGTACGAACATTTTACGTTGTTTCCGAATGACTAATCGCTTGAAACTACTAGAAGTTCTTATAATTACTATAAAAACAGTCGAAAGAAACGAGGAGACCTATGCTTTTATCGTTTTACATGATCGACGCTATCAAACCGCTAACGACCAGCATCAAACACGATTAAAAAATTTCGTTTAAAAGCGATTCAAAGGTAACGTCGATGCTCTTTCTCATAGCCTCGCGGATATAATTAATTCACAGTAAGATCTACAAGATGACTTCTTGTGTTGTTGGCAAAATTAATTCACTGCAAAAATTCATTGGATCAACTCTTTGGCTCTTCCTGAGATTAAGACTCTATCTAAGCTCTTCGTAACTACTGAATTTTTGTGTACGACACAGCGTGCAAACTTTCGCTATAGCTCTTTACCGGATGGCTCTCGTAAAACGTCGTAGGAAGAACCAATTGCGGTGATTTTCACGTGCGAACTTTACCGGTTTGCTCAAACGAACGATATGAAACGTTCAAGATGCCGGTGTATCATTACAAACACCGTTGGGCCAGTCGTACTATCGGACGGCTCGATTAACACTGAACTCGTATCGGAGCTTCTTGCATGCACCGTCTGTTCCGAGATCGGTGGAATTCGCATAATCTCTCGCCTCCTCTGCACGCGTACGAACTTTCAATCTATTCTTCCCCGTTTGAAATTCGTGGCCTCTCTAAGAAATTTGGGCATTGTCGAGACATCGCGAGACCCAAAACAGAATGGAGCTTTTGGGTCCTCAATTTGCATTTAATAAGATTAGTCAAATTTCTTTGAAGTAGCTAGTATTTATGTTGAGTATTGCTATCAGTAATTTTTCAAATTCTCTAATATTGAAAAACTAATTTCTTATTATTAAATTAGTAAATTTCGTTAGAATTAATAGTAACGTTCTAAGTTTCAATTGATAGATACTAGCAATATGAAGTATATTAATTATAATTCTATACGTAGTTGTACTACATTCTCATCACATAATTCATTTTTGAGAAGTATTTATTACATTCAATACTTTCCATGTAAGAATATTTACAAATGTATTAGTACAAGTTGATCAACTTTATATAAGTATTACTTACCTTGATCGGAATGAACGATACATTCTTTTATTTAATATAGGATACTTAGCTGTTCTGGTGTTATAACAGTAAATTTAGTACTTACCGTCTTCTGCATTGTTTCACGTATTAATTCATATTTTTTATTACCGTATACAATTATATTTGGTAAAAGTGAATCGTTCCCGAAATGATAGGACAAGCCTAAATATACATATATGAATCTTTCAAATAGAAATCAGAAAGTATCATCTTTCAATCAAACACTTCATTTTTGAGGTATGAACTGTTTAAATTTAAAGATCTAATTTCTGGTTTAGATTACATTAAAAAATAGACTTTTACCGATTTCATATTCTTCTTTGTACAATGCACGTAACATAGATTCACGCAAAGTGTTATTGCATATAGCCATGCGCTCAGCTGTCAAGAATTTAAACAGATCCGCAACTTGGACATTAAAAATTTAACTACTTATGTTTTAAACTAAAAGTCTCGAATCAAAAAGTGGAAAACGGTTTTTTCATTTTCATTAGAGTAAAACATTTGTATGTTTTGATTGTCCCATAATGTTGTAGGATCCTATAGATCTTACTACTGGAACTGAGACTTTAATGCTGGTATATCGCTCAAGTATATTGAATATAATTAAAAGTTGATTCAATTATTTTCTACAAACTTACCTGTTCACGGTGTAAGACATTCTTAAAGTATGTAAGATCTTGTCCATTAATAGTAAACTTTCCAGATCCATCACCTAGCACTTTAACATCGCCGTGTGCATTTTTCCTCTTACAGTCTATAACAATGCGAAATTAAAAAATGTATTAGACAACAAGTAAAGAACAAAATTTAAAGAAACAGGTTACGAAGCGTAAATGTAATGAAATTACAGAATAATAATGTAGGAACTTATATTATATAATTACTTTTAATTAAAACAAAAGGTCTGTCATTGCTATCATATTCCATCTGTAACAGAAACAAAATGCATCAACTGCCTTACTCTGAAGAAAGCAAATAGAATAATAAAGGCTATTCAAAATGTACTTACAGGTGGAAGTTCTGTACTTTGGGTAATTACTTTCAATTTATTTCTATATTTCATAATAAAATCATATTTGTAATTTGACATGGGATGCTCAATCACTCTATTGAAACTTTTAACAAAGTATTCATACTAAAATAAATCAAAACATTTAATCAATTTCCAAGGAACTATGTTTTTATTAAAATATTATAAATATATGTAAATTATAGTGTACATACATCTGCTGTCTTAAGCAGTTCCATTATATTAGATTCAAGTTCCTCTTTTGTAAACCAATCTGTACCCACCGCGTTACTAAAATGATAAAAATCATAATACAAATAGAACAACAATGATATAAGCAAGTTATTAAATATTTTAATAGTCTAATGAAATAAGTACAATAAACAAATTTTAACTCACAATTTGTCCTCGTTGGAGGGTACTCCACGTGTAGCAATTTTCATGTCTTCTATTCTATTTAAATATCTTATTGAGTCTGCAATGTCCTGCATAAGAATATTTTTTGTGCATTTCAAATATGCTATAGTCAAATGAAATATAATTAGGAAAATTATACATTAGAAAATAACTTACGTAAAGTATACTGTAATAATTAGGTTTGCATGTATAGAACAAAAAATGAAATGGTCTACCACTTTCATCAAATTGTGCTTCTTTCCTTTTTTCAAATAATTTATTTGGATGTACCATCATAGGACGTGCTCGCCAATCATATAAACCAGAAGGTAACAAATATTCTATTGATTTCTACAAAGATTAATAATATTAATCGTACTAAAGACATTAATTCCTTGTCTCATTTTTGGTTTGTTTATAACAAAGTTATGAAATTAATTCATCATAGAATTTTAACCATGTATTTAATTTAATTAGTACTAAAGATCATAAGACAAGGGATTAAATATATTTCTAGAAAATCTTGTTTTATATAAAACAAATGTAATTTACAGTAATTTGATCATCACTAAACTGATCAGGATCTTCGCCCATCATATTAGCTAAATGTCGTTTTCCTAAATCATATTTAACTATTTCTTTTTCCACGAATTCCTCTGAAATCAATAATCTTTAGTTTAATCTTACATTCATACTAACAGTAAAATGTATGTAATATTAGTTTAATCTGCTGGAAACTTACGATATTCTCTAGATCTCTGTAAATACAGTCTCATAACTTTATTCATTCCTTTCTCTGATTTTTTCCCAGATGTATCACCAAGTATTTGGTTAATATTCTCAGCAGAGACAGTGTAAGATTTATGTGATACATTCTAAAATAATGAGAAGTATATCACTGTTGAGTAACTTTATAACTGAATAACTTTAAGGTTACAAAAATGATTTGACGATTTGTACACATTTTTCAAAAGGAAGAATTACATAGCATGAAAGTTTCAATTTACCAAATGTTGCTTGACATTTAGTGTGCCTCCAACTGCACTAATGTTGTTCAACTTCATTACATTTCGTATATTTACAGAACGTGTGAACATTGTCAGAGCCATGTTTACTGATTAAGATGATTAATAATCATGTATTTACTTCTATTTCTGTGTGTACAATCTATAGATTACAAACGTATTAGAGGCTTTACGTCATACTTTATCTATTTTTTATTTATTCACAATTATAAATGGCAAATATCAAGTAAACGAACATTATCATAATTTCTCTTGATTTCTCTACTGTTCTCTACAATAAGAGATAAACTGAGATAAGCACTAACCAAACCTGGAAAAATACTATTTATATTACATAGATACTTATTCGTTTTATTCTCAGATTTGAATTATTATAATACAATAAAATTTTAATTTGTTGTACGAAATTTCTAACATAATAATATTTTTAAAGAAAAAGTAGAAGAAAAGTTCTTTTATCTAAGTAATATAAATTTCAAAGTTTAATCTTATTTGAAAAAGTACTTTAAACAATTGTTTTATAAACCAGCTGTAGAATAATTTAACTTGTAGTTGTTTATAGGAAGAGGGATAAAACAGATACAAAATAAAACCAATTGCTTTATTATATGTAAAAATATTTTTATTCAATGGGTTTTATATTAAAAGATTATTCTTTGACACTAGATATAATGTTAGACATAAGTACAAAACGCAACATCAAAGTGTTTCATTATACGTATTTTAATATAATAACTCAAATTTATAATGAATACTGACAGGTGTAACGTTTGAGATCATTCTTTTGTCTTAAAAAAAAATCATCAAAAACATACATTCAATTAGTACCACGTAAATAATTATATAAAATTTATCAATTATAAAGTACATACATCTGATCTTCAAAATTTCAAAAACATGCTATTAAGTACATATTTGAGAGTTCTTATTCAGTTACTGTTAATATAATTATTTAAAAATTTAAATATGTTTTTTTCTTCACTTTATGGAATACATAATAAATCCTTCATTATGATAGTATAATAATGTTTTCTAAGTAGAAAGTTATACTTCACAAATATTCTATATTTTTGCAATCTTATTCTAAAAATTGTGGACGGAAAGTGTTATTAGTTACATTTGTATAACATTTTGTCTTATAAAAAAAATAAAAAAGTATAAAATAAAGATAAAAAAACATCGCGAAAAAAAATATAAATTGTTATATAGAATATAGAAATGGTAACTGTATAAAGTATAATATATGTATAAGGATAGTGTTTCAGAATACTTCACGAGTGTACGATTACTATATACAACATATAATAATTATTGTCTAAATACAATAAAAATGTGAACACCTGTTTATTAATAATATTAATTTAATTCTAATTCTGAGGTGTACGGTTCTGTAATTGATGTAATTGGACAGATGCTTAAAGTATCCTAAAAATATAAAATGTATTAAAGAATATATAAACATAGTAACACTTTATATTACGAGTTATGAAAATAAATGAAGTATTTACCAATCTTGTAAGCTCTGCAAATGTTGGTCTTTCTCGACTTTCAACATGCCAGCAAGATAACATAACTTCGTAAAGCGGATCAGGAGTATCTAATAGTTGTGGTAATCTGATTCCTTGCTTGACTGCTTCTTCTACTTCGCTATCAAGCATAAAATTAGAGTATGGTGTACCACCCATACTGAGCATTTCCCATAAAAGTACACCAAACGCCCAAACAACTCCTGGTGAATGTTTTTTTTTGTTACCAAAACATTCAATAGAAGTCCATCGAATGTATTTTATATCTTCCACAGCATACTTGGCAATACCATGACCCATTAATTTAGGTGTCCAATCATTGCAAAGACCAACGCTACGCGCACACAAATAATCGTGTACAATTTTACAATTTTCAAGATGTTGCAAAGCAGATGCAATCATAGCCCCTATAGGTAGAATCTGATTGACTGGAAATGTATCCCCGGATCTTGCAGCTAGCAATCGATTTTTCAAAGTTTGAAGTGGCAATTCTAATACAACGTATAATGTATCATGCGTTTCACAAGTTCCTATTAGATCTGCAAGGTATTTCATAGGAGATGCTCTAATACAAACGTCCAATTCTCGTAACATATTCCTTTTGTCAGATGCTTTTAATGATTTATCAGCTATACTATGAACTGCTACAATACAAGATTTGCCATCTTTCTCAACTGTTCCTGTGTAGACAGTACCAAATCGTCCTCTACGTATTATCGTGTCATTAATGTTTAAAGCATTTTGTGGTATAGTCCATACTTTGTTCTTTAATTCTTGATAATGATTTACTCTTTCCGGAACATCTTCTGGAATATATGCCATATTGTCGATTTCATATAGTGGTCCTTGCAATGTAAGTTCTTGTTGTTCTGGAAGTTTTCTCATACGAAATTTTTCATGGCGTTGTCGCAATGCAAAATATAATATTATTAAAGCTACAAGTAATGCTCCTAAAAGACCAATTGCAACACAAAGTACAATTGTTATTGCATCTATTTCAGTATTCTCTCTTTTACTATAAACTTTTAAGTTGTTGACCAAGTCTGAGTAAGCAAATTGCATCTCTCTCTGAAATCTCGAAATCACTGCCAATCCTATTTGCGGATTTATTTGAGTATTTAGAGGTGCATTGTAATAACGTCCAATCATTTTTCCATCTCCAACTGTAAACTTTTTATATTTATAAAATTCAGAAGATTCAAATTCTCCTGTGATATAATATGCTAAGCCTTCCTGTTTTGATTTTTCATAATTACAGTATGTTATATTAGGACCGGAAGGAGGTATTATACCAGGCTGAACAACAAATACTTGATATGCACTAACAGGTCCATATTCGCTATGTCCTTCTGACAATAAAACAGTTATGGTAGTAGCTGTTTGTTCTACTACTTTTGGCATCATTGGTTTATCAGGTGGAGCTATTAGTGTCCAACCTGAAATGTATCCAGGATCACTGTTTCCTTGAGTGTTAATTGCAATGACTGATACATTATATTTTGTGCCAGGTTGTAAGTTTCGCAAAATAATACTGTTTGTTTCTCCTCCTTGCACTTGACTTTCTACAGCTGGTAATGAATCAGAAGCATATGTTTCGAGGACTGCTGCTTTTAAAGTGTAAGATGTAATATTTCCATTAGATATATTAGGTGGTTCCCATGTAATATGTAAACTATCGGGTCCATTGTGAATTATTTGTATTGTTCTTGGAGGACTAGGACCTAAAAGAAATATGTGGTCACTTTAAACTAATAAATATAAGATATGTACGAACCTCAGAGGATAAATGGAGATGCCAGAGCAAATATATTTTATGTTTCTATACAGGAATGTTCATTTTCTGAGGTTATTCTTATATAAATATGTTTAATAAGTATACCTTTTTGCCCAGTTGAATAAATACTCATTGCTTCTTGGCTACCACAAAAATTATTTGGTTCAGCAGTGCAGGGAAGAGTACAAGAAGCAGATATACCTTTTCTACCATAATTACTACCACAAAAACATTGTTGACCATTCATTAATCCAGCAAACCTATGGATCATTTATAAAATATGCTAGGTGTCAATTTATTTAGTGTTAGTAGTAAGAAATACAGAAAAAGGTAGATGCTGTAACTTACATGTAATAACGAGAACGACACTGTTTAATACATTCTGTTGGTGTGCCAGCATGATTTAATATTAAAGTTGGCAAATCGGGATCTAATACAGAGCTCCGAAAACAACCCTCGTACTTTTGACTAAGTACATGGGTAGAGAAGTAAATAATTAGCGATAATGTTATCATTATGGATTATACTAATTTCGAATGTGTTTTCTATAATATAATTTTTAACGGCGTCATTAATTTAAAGTACAAAATACAGATCGAAACATTCTTTAAGAATAGTTTACATCTGAGTCAATGAACGAATGATGTCACTATACTGCACATGAAAGAACAAGGTTAATTGTATATCGTACTACATTGCTTTTTAAAATATGACAGTACTGTATTTCATTGTTTCTTGCCATTTTTACTTATTTTAGAAATTGTCATAAACTTTTATAATCCATTCAATAAAATTCAAATGCACAACAGCAAATTTTAAGGGTGTGGTTACATTTAAATATATATTTACGTTGTTATGTTTAGCGTCACTAGTCGCTACTATTTAAATATGTACATATGAGTATGTAATGTACTATTCAGTACTATTATACATACTGCTTTCATTCATTTCAATTTTAACTAAAGGATTTGTAATGCATTAAATTAATTTAAAGATATGGAAAAATTACTAATGAAATTAAAATATGTTATTGTATATTTGAAATAGTAAAGCTAACTCCTTTGAAACATTTTTGTTTAAAAAATTGATGAATTAGTTTTTATTTGCATTTATTTTAGGTATCAAATAAATGTAACCAATTAATATAAAAAAAAAGTTCTGAACAATGACTATCATTTCAATTGAGTAAGCTTTTAAAAATGACAGAGTTTTTACTTTGCACTATATTTATTTTTAATGAATTGTTTTATTAAAGGACTACAATAATCTTATATCATTATTCTTTGTATTCTTTACTACAAATTAATAATATATACTAATGTTATTGGTATTCAGTAAAAAAATCGAATTAATAATGTAGATAGAGTACCAAAAGGCATGTAAATAATTCATTTAAGTTTTTCATTATTATATTTGTCCAGATATACAATCATATACAAATTTACTATAATGTACTAACACAATTACATTCTGTATTAAGGTTATCAAGTAAATACACAGATTCTGTCATATTGTTACTGTTCACTTACATTTGCATTATTTATTTGACTATAATATAGTACAAAGTAACGAATAAACTATTACGACTTTTTCTTAGTAATTTTGTTAACAATACTTTAGTGGTTTGAAATCTCGTTATGCAGTGCTGTTAATCAAAATTTAAGCATGTTTGTTCATCCTAAGATAATGAAACGATTAAGCGCCAATATTGCAATACTGATTTCTGTGGCCAGTGTAAATAATAAGATCGTGTGTTTATCTAAACAAAGATTTACTATTTTAGTTATTATACATTAATGAAACTTGGTAGAAATAGAAGAATATTATAAAAAAAAAATTACAAATGCAAGTGTATTTATTCAATTACAATACATTTTTAAGTCTTTAACAACACTGCTTTTGTGGCACAGGTACATGTAACTTAAGAAAATACAAATACATTATCACAAACTTACTGCAAATAAATCGTCACTTTCATCTATACACATTCGGTGTTATATAAATATATACAATGATTGGCTGCATTTGATGTAACAATGTTTTGTAAATGTAAGATTCTGAATACAAAATAGATTAAATCATACTGAAATTAGATGAAATTACATTGCATGAGTAACTTCTTATGAATTGTAAGCATAAAAGATAGACTGTTGAATGTGTGTTTTTAAAATACAATCTCATACAAAATCTTGCCATGAATTAAAATATCATTTTTTTTTATACTTCACGTTCTTGTTAATATACTGTAAATATAATAACAAACGTAAGTTACTGCATTTCAATATTACACATATAATATATTTATATTAGCAATTAATAGCTCAATACTGATCAGTTAAGAGTAGAACGACAGCTTACGATTGCAAATTATTTTTACAGATATTTTATTTTTTTCAATCATATCATATTGAAATATACTACGAATTTATTTCTATTGCCGGCAATATTTATGTGTCCAAAAGTTAGAACATTTAATTCATTACAAACAAAACATTTGCAGAATTCATAGTAAAATATCAAATTTTACATTAACGAAAAATAGAAGTTCTGCCTGTATTATCATTAATTGAAATTATTTCACAATTTTAGTATACAATTATAACATATTATTTGATTCATAATCACGAGTGTTGTAACACAATTTTCATAATAAAACACATTGAAAATGTCTTAGATATTTTGAGAGCACTATATACATTACTTTAATACAGAAATAAAATACTAATATAACTTTTATAAACATTGAAAAGTTGTTTATATTTTTAAACGCCAGTTTCCAAGTTGCATTTAAACTCAAAACATTATTCAATGAATCTTTAATTTAATATTCAGATCGTCTGTTTACTATGATAATTAATTATGAGATACTTACATATTTTGCGTATGCGGAAGTAGTGATTTTTCATTACTGCGTTTATGAACAAGTCTTATTCCAATTATGTTGAAATTATATCTAAGAGGAAGCAGTGTAATTCCTATAACTAATATCTCAACTATTTGTAATTATTTGTTCGTTATAGAATTACTTTAGAAAATCTTACATTAATTATATAATTTGTTAAATAACAAATTATGATGATAAAGCAGTCTTACAAAAAGTGGTGCACTAAGCACTCGAGGCATTGCTAATGAATGAAATTTCGTCCTTGAAACAGGAACATCAAGAGTATATTCTTATAAAATCTAAATAAACTAATTGAGAGTAATACTTAATTATACATCCATTATTTAGATAACTTGCTTATGACTTCATTACTCAAGGAATGAAGACTGGAACAATAGTCCGAAAAATCGATCCTGTTTATGACGATGGACCTTTTCTCCTTTTGTTACTGTGTATCTTCTTGTGGGATTTCTTATTCCCGAGTCCTAATATGAATACCATTTTATTATGTAAATGTAAAATTATTATTTATTCGTCAAATGAATATAATTTTACTTGATAGATATAAAATTTAACTCACGCTTTAATTGAGCCACTCGCGAACGTGTCAAACGCGGCGAAACTTTGGATAAAGAAATTGGTTGTATCGAAGTCTTTTTTCTCAATTGAACTATTTGTTCCATTGCTGGCGTCATCCATTTCGCTTTAGGATCACTATTTGCAAAAATATTGTTTCCGTTTTATTTAACATATAAAGTATTATAATTCTAATAATTAAATTAGAATATTTACTCTGTTGATCTTGAAAATGTTCTGTACCGAAATGTGCCTGATTGTCTTTCTTTCATCCTTTGTAATACACTCAACATTGCATACGTAGGTAAGGATGGAGGTGGTGGAGATGGTGGCGGGGTTAGTGGTGATGGTTGAGTGAGTGATGAAGGCAGAGTTTGTACAGTATTTTTTGCAAGTTTATCAGGATGTAATGCTAATACTGCCTCCCAACAAAACTCTTTTCGTTCAACTGGATGTTTAGGTTGCGTGTTTCGTGTTATGCGTATCTATAAATAGTAATCTTTGTTATTATTTCTCTACAATAACACGAAATTTAATAATAATAAATACAAAAAGAACGCTAATAAATATTTCATATATATGTATATATATATATACCTCGCCATTAACAGGCCTACAAGGTTTTCTTTCTCTCAAATATGGTCGTTTGAAAGAGATAGGACAAGAAATATTTTCATTAGATTCTCCTACACGATACAAACATGTAGGAACGTCATTGTTTTGACTGGAACCAGATTGAAATAAACTACGTAGATAGGAATAGTTAGGTTTAGTTTCAAATCCCAATTCAGTAATATAAGTCATGTACTCCACAATGGCAGCTAGCAAAAAAGTATGTTCGTTAATACATTGTTTTAAAGAGCAACTGTTTACAAACTACAATACAATCAAGAAATTCAAATACATTATCGTATTTATGTTTAAATTGAACAGAATTGTAGTTGAAAATATGTTTCATTTTTTTTAAAAGAAAAGTTTGATAACTCACCTGGTGGTTTCTTCTTATAAGGGAAACATTTTTCCATAAACAATGGTATATTTGAAAGTAAAATTTCTTTTTGTTTATGTACTTCTTCTGGATCTATTGTTGATGGCACACTATCATCCTCTTTTTCCCAGGGTAATTTACCACATAGCCATTGTAATACATTGTATCCTAAAGTTTCTAGATCTCCTCTTCTTGAATGTGCTAAAATAATATATATATATATTTCCAATGAAATAGAATGATTTTAATTGTCTTCTACTTAAGACTAAGACGTCATTCTAATAAAAAAATTTTTGCAAAACTTACTTCCATGGTGTGCATCTCTTGATGTAAATTCTAATGTTCCTTCATGTGCTCTTCTCTCATCATGCACAAATGGCTTATGTATACCCAATCCTGTACGAAAACGATAAGCCAACCCATAATCAACTAAATATGCTTGTGATTTTCTTGCCTTAATAACGTCTTTGCTCATAGATAACAAAATATTTGATCCCTTAATGTCAGCATGTGCATATCCTCGACTATGAATATATTCGAGAGCATCTAACTATATAAATAGAAAAATGGTGAAATTTATAAATTTTATAATAAATTAATTTCATTATAAATTGTATTAATTAATTAAATACCATTTGAATAGTTAGCCTATTAACAAGTTTCATTGGTAATTTTCTTCCATTTGATATAAACAATTTTCCAATATCTATACCAAATCTTGGAATTACTAAAAATCTATATCTTTGACCTTGATACATATGAGAGCCAGATCCTTCATAATTTGGAACACCTATTCGTCTCTTTCCTTGTGATTTACACCAATTGTCAACTGTAATTTACAATAAGAAGATATACACAAGATATAAATTATATAATACAGATAATTAAGTTACTTACTCATATCCTTACGAGCTGCTCTTATGTAAAAGTTCATTTCTACAAATAATGGACCATTATTATGAGGTTCAATTTTTATTACATATTTTGCATCTTCTCCTACTGGAGCATGAGTGTCATTTGACGCTATAATATAAAATATTCAATTAAAATATTAACACTTTAATAGAGATTTGTAAGAATTTATAGCTATTTTACAAATGAACCATTATAAAGATATTACCTAAATATATATCACCAAATCCACCATATCCTATTGTATGACCTAATTTCCATTTGTTTTGAGTAATATCTGTTAATATTTCTCCTGCTGGTAATTGATTGGGTAACTTACAACCTAAAGCTGCTACTCTTTTAACATGTATTTCTTCAGCTCGTTTTGGTGCCATTATCGCTATATAGTTATTTACATGAAATATAATACTCCATTAACTTGTACATAAAATTAAAATCTACATAATCATTATTTTACAGAGAGTAAAGTAAATATTACATAGCATCTATAAAATTGTCTTATAAAATTGAGATACACTTGTAAAACAAGTTCTTCTAGGTTTCTGGATATTCTATTATATTATTATTGAATTATATTGCATAACAGTGCTTTAAAAAGCAGAGATAATTTTGTGGTTATATGGTAAATGGAAACATGCTAAAATTAGGAAAAGGAATTCTATTATACATTAAAAAATTTCATAAATGATTCAAAAGTTTATAAACATTTACAAAAATGTCCATTCTGTTTCGTGTAGTAAAGTTTCAGTATAATAAGTATATTTTGAACAATATAGTTTTACATTTTGTACATACAAGTTTATAACTTTCTTATTTTTCTAATGAATTGTTACTTTAATCTAACTCATGCACTACTACACATATAATAAAATATCTTTACTACAATGCATCAGTAGTAAAAAAATATATAAACATATAAATCATGATACTGTACTTACATGATATGTAACTTCAACAAATAATCTTTATTTTTCTAGTTAAAAGATAAATAAAATTCATCTCGTGCATTTTTCTTCAAAACATCGTAAACATTAAGTTTCGCGTGTTAACAATCGCTACTAATTACAGTAGTAAATGCATAATTTGAATTCTATTTGATAAGGTTATCTAATAAATATGAATTATGCAGACATAATTTGTAGAAATTGTTACGATCACTTTGTATATTTTCACAGAAATTCACATATAATTTATAACCACGCTTTCTAATACAGTTTGATTTCTTTTGTGAGCGAATTGTTCTAAAACATTTAATTTTCAGGATTCCATATCCCACTGTCAATCAAAATGTTAACTAGGAAGGAAAAGCACAAAATATTACTTTATTTTAAGTAGTGTACCTCGAAATACGAATAAAGAAACATCGCATACAGTCACATTAATTGCTTTGCACAACGGGATTTTCGATAATTTATAGTGTTTCTATTTTATATTTAAAAATTCAGCAGTCCCCCATGGAATTCACTTCACCCAGCTTAAAGAATGCACCACACTGCCATTTCATGAATTGAAGAGTTTAACGGAACACCGATCAACTGCAGAGGGCGTTCATACATTTTGAATATATTTATCTCTTTCAACGATTTGCTAGATGTGTATACCATACATATAATTATTTCCTATCGTTCCATGGAGTAATTTATTTTGTAAGTCACATCGAATATTAAATGCGGTGTTCAACGATGCTCGAATAAGTTCTTTCAAATGGACATATTTTCCAATGGAACCATACTGTAATCGGTGTTGGTGATATACAGGGTGTCCCAAAAATGTTGGAGGTCCTTGAAAAGGGTGGTTCAGGGGGTGATTTGAAACAACTTTTTTCTTAGCGAAATTGTTGTCCGAGGCTTCGTTGAGGAGATATTAACGGAAAACACTGACCAATCAGAGCGCGCGTATACTGTTGGAGCGGCCGCGATAGCGATGGCTATGCGCTAGGTAGCCGCTCTCGTATGCGACAAGTGACTCGACGTGCATCGAAGGATATTGACGCGGCCGCTCAGCGCGTAGCCTTCGCTACCGCGGCCGCTCCAATGGTATCCCCGCGCTCTGATTGGTCGCGTTTTTTTTATTAATATATACTTAACGAAGCCCCATTCGACATTTTTGCAAAGGAAAAAGTTGTTTCAAATCACCTCCCGAACCACCCCTTTCAAAGACCTCCAACATTTTTGGGACACCCTGTATGTATAATGAAGTACAGAGATAGTCATCTTACTTGCAAATATACAAGTCTAATATATCATTAAACGTTTACTAATACAAAATATTAGACTTACATATCGTTGCAAAGAAAGTCATATTTGTATCTATGAACATACTTTTTGTGAAAGTGTTTAATAATTTGATACCATTATTTCCTCGTGGCTCAATATAGCATTTCCTAACAAAAATAATATTAATAATATTTTAGATAGTTCCGAATTTCTGCATCGCAATAGATCGATAATCGTAATACAGTAATAATATAAAAATCATGAAGAGTCAATACACCAAATATTACGAATATAAATTTCTCTAAACTTTTGCTAATGCCGGTAATGTAACCATACACGTGAAGTGTGTGTTGTCATCGATAAATCAACAAATAGTGAGTAATTTGAAGGTTTTAATATTGACGCATTCGTGTTTCTACAAAAAGACAAACTTTTAATAAATTGCAAAACATAATAAAACATAATGTACATGTATATGAGATTAGAGGCTCTCCATTATGTTAATTGTCTGTCCAAATAGTTCTGTTTATTGCCTCATGTATTTATTTGATGCATGGAGTATGTCCAGTCTTCTGATTCGTAGAATGCATTAATGATTCTACCAATCAGAAACTGGAACGTATGTCCAGCATTGCCATTTGTCTTGTAATAGTATGAATTCTGTTGAAAAAAGAATAAATATTAAACAAATGTCTACGATAAATGTGTATTTGATATTATGCTTCGTTTTTAATGAGAAAAAACTTTGTAAATACAATCATGTAACTTCATATAGGACTAACATGGCGGAGCGCTGTATTCCGAATAAATTCAGTAGAAGTTACATAAGTCATTGTTTATATATATAATTACTGTTCTGTGGTGAAGTAGTTAATAAGAAATATTTAGAATTAATTTATGGATCCATTTGGATCTACTACAATAAACATTCCTGGCTGGTGACACAGAGGACCAATCAGGAAACCAGCTTCTGCTGCAAATGGCGCGTTTTGTTTACAGAAATTTGCTTTGCTACAAATATATATTTCATATGTATTTTGTTTTTAATCTTGTTTGGCAGGAAATATCATGAATGTAATGACACAGACATTGATGTTTATGAATTGTTTAATAAATTTAGAGATACCGCATCTGTCTATGATAAAGAGAGAAAAAACGTTGAATTAATTCATGAAGTTTTTTAGGAGGGAAGGGATTGTTACTTAGAAATACATCTTACAGATTGAACATACAAAATAATAATTTACAGATTTCTCATTTAATTCCAAAAGAAAGATTGCATTAGGGGGATCGAATCTTTGAAATATTTGCAAGTGTGTTCCGTAATGTAACCGAGATTTGCAGTAACACAGATTACAATTTATACAAATTTTGTAAGCTTCTGAGTTGTATATATATATATATTTCTTTGATCTTAACAGTGGTATTTTGTATAAAGAGACTTGTTGAGGTCCATTTTTACTTTGTAAAATGTATAAAGATGTCTAATACATTCTGGATTTTGTGTGTAAAATGTGGTACGTTTATGATGTATTGTTAAACACATAGGAAATATATCATCAACCATACCCTTCTAGAAGAGATCGGCGCGTGAAGCCGTAATGGACGAAAAGAAGTGGGTGCCAGTTCGAAGGATTGTGAAAGTGGAAGTTTAAGCTCGTGTATTTAGTGAAACATCTCTTCAGCTCTCTAGCCTCAACAAAATGACATAAACATTTTTGAAACGATGATCAATGCGTTGTATCTACTTTCAAATATATTATGTAAGTATAGGACCAGTTCTTTGTTAAAATCATTTAATGGTTAGAATATCAACGCATCCATTAATGTCTTGTCTGGCATCTGTAACTGTTGTTACGAAAAACATGTTCTTATATAGTAAAACTTATAAGCCGAAAAGCGTTTGTATCGAATTGCAAAACATCTGCTACTAAATAATAATTGATGCAATCCTAAATTGATGTTAGTTTCTTATTATATGCCAGTAAGGTTTTAAGTGACAAAAAAGATTGTTATTTATAAAAGGTTATTATCTCATGTAAATTTTTTTTAAGTTTTACATAAAATTTTCAAGTTTAAGTCTCGATTTTGATATGTTCTAGTAATTTGCACATGCTTAGATATTATTATTTTGTAGATATTGTATAAGTGAAGTATTGCTTGTTGCAACAATTGTGTTAATAAGTGTTTTTAGTCATTTGCAATAAGTTATCAATGTATAATAGTTATTATTGTTTATAGATGCTATAATTTTTCAGCCTAAAATAACAATTTTCAATCTTATTTGGCTTAATTTTTAATTTACCATTGTATAAAGCTTATAAAGATACAACTAAAAGATTCATATTCTTAGTAAAAGACAAACATTCTTTTCAATATCTTTATTAAAATCTCTTCAATGCGAAATAATATGTATGTACGTACATATATATTTTGCTTAAATTTTGTAGGTTACATGTAAAACTAAGGTTCATATTCATCATAAGATATTTGTATAAAAATAATTTGTTTTATGTTTTTTAGAGAGAGCATTGCCATAGTACTAATTAAAGTAAGAAATGTCTTATCCTGGCCAACCTCCAATGGGAATACCAGGCATGCCACCTATGCCTTACATGGTTGGCGCACCTCCTCCAATTATAGGTGGTGTAATGCCTATGGCACATGTAAGTACTTATAAATTTCACTATTTTAATGTTTTTAGCATGCTTGTGTTTATATGCTATTGAATAATTTGTGGATTCTTTTTCTTGGGTATATGTTGCTACATTTCTAATAGAAAACTAAGTAATTTTTTTCATTGATACTTTAGGAAGTAATTGTAATTATAATAGTTTGTATGTTTATTTGTTCTTTTACAATATAAATACGAATTATGTATTTTATGTTAACTTTAACCTTAGAAAGACTATGCCATTAGCTGTTATTGTAATAGTAATTTTTTATGCTAGGAAACAAATGGTATGAAAATATTTTATGTAATAGGAATAATATATTTTGAAGATTTTCTGTCAAGTGGGATCAACAAGTTCTGCTTTAATTTTTTGAGGGTTAATGTCCTCAATATTTTAACAGTTTTTATTTTAATAGTTCTCAAAATGTGAATCTTTTATTTTGTACATTTATTTAAATTATTAATAATGTAAATTAAATTCAAAACCATGCATGTTATTCTTTCTGAATGTGTTGTTTTTTGTTTTTTAAATATGTATAAAAAAAATAAAATCAGTGCATTCTACTGTAAGCAATTTTCTTTATAAGCAATGGGTAGAAGCATGTATTATCACTTTTATGTAAAGTAATTAATTTGAACTTGATGTAACTTATAACTGCAATTAATAATGTTTTAGACAGTTGTTTAGTGTAATGTATTAACAAGTTGTATGTAGATTGTCAATGTAAAGTGGAATGTATATTACTCAAAATATTCACATAGTAGAATTCATGTACAAGGGTGAAAAGAAAATTTTTTAAAAATTATGTTACTGACACGCATCTTAATTTCTTTAAATTAATATTTGCATGATGCCATGTTGTAATAAAAAGCAACAAAAGAAGAAGATATAAATTACTATGGTATTAGGGGGAGGGGAGACTCTGGACTGCATGAGTAGATATGTGCATTATTAAGAAACCTACCATTTATAAAACATAGATGATTCCAACACCCGTATCTGCGATGCAGACCTCAGCTCCAGCTGTTCGGTATGCACGTAACCAGAATCGTCATGATAATAATCGACGTCGTGAGAGAGAATCCGGCCCACCAGTTACAGTGTTCATTGGTAACATTATGGACAGAGCACCTGATGTGATGATTCGACATATTCTGGGTGCATGTGGCCATGTTCTTTCGTGGAAGAGAGTCCAAGCATTTGGATTTTGTGAATATGCAGGTCCTGATGCAGGTCTTAGAGCAGTTAGATTACTTCATGATATGGAAATAGGCACAAAGAAACTTGTTGTAAAAGTTGATGCAAAAGCCAAAGTTGTACTTGATCAGTTTAAAGGTAAATTTAAGAATTGCATATAGAGGGTACTTGCAAAGTTGTATATAATATATTTATATATTCGATTTATTGTAGCGGAAAGAAGAAAAAAGTTGAGAGGAGGTCAGTCACCTTTACAAGATGAAACATGTACTGATGGGACAGATGGAGAAGAAGGTGAAGATTACATGGATGAGAGCATGAGAGTAGTGGATGCGGATGCGCTAGCTCGCATTAATCAAATCATAGCTGAACATGCTGCTGATCTGGAAATGGCTCAAGTTGCTCCTGGTAATATTTTAATTATTGTGTAATAACTTATCCAATAAAATTAGGGAACTAACAATAAATATTTTATGCTGTTTTATAGAGGAACATCAAACAAAAATGGTTGCAAAATCTTTGAACTTGGATGATGCAGAAATAGAAGAAAGTAAAAGAGACTTGATTACACGAGAAATTGGAAAATTCAGGGAGGTTATGAAGGTAATTATTTTTACACTTTAACATTCTTTTTATATTACTCCTACTTTTCTGCCCTTCTTTTTGGTCATATTGTCGGATGTGATATACCATAATCTTAGAAGGTATTATAAATTGTGATCTGATAGGATTGGGTAAAAAATATAGGTTTACAGAGGGTAATAATTGTAAAACTGTTGTCACCAATCACATGAATTTTTTACGAAGCATTATAAACATTATTCTGTAACATATCGCAATAAGAACAATCTTCTCTGAAACTTTTTTTATATACAAATGTTAATTTATGTTGTTTTATGTATGTGCAATGCACTTCAACAATGTATTTCGTTGTTTGTTTTCTTTTTTTCTTAAAGAAGGTAGTAATTTGCTTAATACGTTCGCAGTACGCGTTATAGATTGTTACATAATTGGTTACATAATTCCTTAAAAATTTCAAAATGAGGATATAATTAAACATTAAAATGTTGAGAAAAACTACGTTTGTAATTGTTTCGAAAAGTCTAGTAATATATTTTCCTGTATTAAATAAATTTGCTATAAATGTAACAAGGTTTATGGCGGACGCTTCTCTTCGCGGTTATAGCGAACGTGTTACAGTAAGATAGTAGTTATGATATTTTAGTATAGTCTTACATTTTTGTGTTTTATTTTTGAATTGTTTGCATATAAATAATGTATTTTTTGTTTTGTCAAGACATTATCAAGAATATGTTTGTAATACTTTGTAGTACTTTTTCTATTATCTTCACAAAATGTGTCAAATCTTTTGTTTGATTATTTTTTTTTTTTAATAGAAGAAATTGACCTTTCTACGGAGTAGAAGGAAATGTGAATGTATTAGAGAATGACTGTTTTTAAATTTTATTTCTTGGTTTTAGAGAATAATCGTAAACAATATTTCTAAATATATGTACAATATTTATATTAAACTCGAAAAGTTTATAGCACCTTTTGTCTTCATTGGAAACTAGTAAATTCATTACTTGTGTTTGTCTTGATAATGAATGATTTTAATTTGATTGAATCATAATTGGTCAAATTTGCACATGACAAATGTTGAGATGTTTCTACAATCTAAGTATTATAATAAAATGTATTGTGACTATATCTGCAATTCGTGTTAAACAATTGTTGATTAAACTCACAGCATATATGTAGAAAATTGAACAATGCATTTGGGCAGGCAAAAGAGGATTACAAATGTATAGTTATAAAATATAGTTTTTAAGTATTTTGTGATAAAGTGCGTGTGTGCTATGTTAGCTCTAAATAATTGGAGCCGTGACTCGTTGCTATAATTATAATAACAGGCAGCGTGCGTCGCACACAGCAAACGCACACGCCTAGGAATGCTGTGTGTGGGGACCACTCTTTCACTCATTCATTGGCTCTGAAGGGAGTCAATCACAGCACAACCCTCGTATTTTCGCAGGCAGCTGCAGCCTCGTCGGTAAGTCAGAGTATATCCAACCAACAAAACATGAAAAACAAGAAAAGTGCAATCTTTAGACGGGAGAATCTCGTAACTCTACAACATGCTGACATCGTGTAGCCAATAAATTTGTCTCTATCGGAACTCCATTTTCTTGACTCGTCGCAAATAATTCTTCGTTACTAATAGCATTATTGCTATTATATATTGAATACAATTTATTCCATACAATCAAATTTCTTTATCCGCTTCTATACTTATTGTGCTAAACTGCTACCGCTAGTACTTTCACGAATTTGTATGTGATCGATAATAAATAGAAATTTTTATATAATTAATTTTGGATAATTGTCTACAACAGTAGACCTCAACTCTTAGACAATCATGTGGAATTCATCAGGGAACTCAGTTACATTGATTTTTTAGTAACATTAACTTGATTGAATTAATACTTGTTATTTTAAGTAATCTTCTCTTTTAATCTCATCTTCAGTTAGTTTTAAGTAAATTATTTGCTAGAAATATTCATATATGACTTTTTCTACTGGGGTTTGTTATACATTTCACTATAAATTTTAGGTAGAAAAATATCGCGTGGTCGTCTGAGGGTTAATATATTTACTCAATATCAAAGTAGAATGTAAAAAAATGAAAGTAAAAAGATTTGGAAGTTAGTTATTTTGATGTATGTAATTGTACTAAAGTCTAGCAGTCTAGTACTTGTATATAGAAGGTCAGTAAATTGTCACTCCAATTGTTTTTACGCACTGCCTAGGATTGGTAAAAATATTATTTAAAAAAAAAAAAAAATTTGACGCTGACATATTTTATAATATATTTTTAGATAGATTATTAATAGGATCGAGACTTTCTGAATCCTACACACAATGAAATGAATTTGTCATCACAATGGCGACTGTTCAGTTGTTGTCTTTATTTTGTGTAAACAGCTTCTGTCAGCGTCTCGATCAGACATGTAGTACCTAGGTGCGCGCTCCTCCATTCTCCGGTACCACCACACTGACTGACCAAGTCAACTTCACACCGTGAGTAAACTCCACAACCATGAGCCAACACAACCATTCGGTTCTTGTAGTTTTGTTAGTGAACTGCCCATCTGAATACCTAAGACCACTGATATTTCATGTTTCAACAGTCTGTTTTCTCCTCATAAGTGCATCTATTTTTATGCACTCAGTTATTCTGTCCTTATTAGTTTAAAAGAGTATGGGTTACTGTATGGATATTAAATAATGAAAACTTAAGAAAAGGCAATTCATAGTTGAGGAAACGCTTTTTCTTATTTGTTTACAGCAGTTATGTCTCTTGTTATCGTTTTTACATAGAGCATGTTCCATTACATAAAATGACAATACAGGTATAAATGTGTTATAGCCTTTACACAATGCTTAATTTTTGATTATATTTTTTTACAAGCTAGTTATATAGAAGTATTTCTTGAAGCAGTATTCATCAGAGTTTGTTGTGTAGGGCTCTCCAAGCAGTAACCCATTATTGATACTACTATATCGAATAAGGATGAACCATATTAATTTATTTCTAAGACGTTACGTTGATAATACGGGACGATAAGGGTGGGCAAACTATTGTGCATTTGATATCCAACAGTTTGCTGCATCAGCTGCATAGCCAGAAGAAAACAATGTTGACAGACGTGTGACAGTTTCTTGGCAAAAGTGAATGATGTTTTGATGGAATCCCTTCTTCGTGATGACTCCGCTTCTGATTGGTATAATACTTTCTAATAATTATTGAGTATTGACAAGAAATCTAAATATTCACCCCTTTCGACTCTTAGACTTATATAGTTTTAGACACTATTGATTTACAGGCACATTTGCAATGTTGTAAGTACATTGGGTGGCCTCTACGATGCGTCTGTTAGTATTAAGGTATTTTTAGTTTAAGTAGAGCTTAAGAAATTTTTTATGCTTGTTTCCAAAGTTTATACCTGCACTTAGGTAATTGATATGTAAACAAGATTTCGTGTAAGATGCTGCTGACCGAGCATGCTCCAGTGGAGTGAGTATACCTCATTGAGATGAACAGAATTATGATATTTGACATGTTATTAATTTTTGTGCAACTAGTAATCGTTAAATATGGTAATACATGTAACATTAAATACTAAAGTTGTTTATATAATATTTAAACAATTTTATACAAGCTATTTGATTTCTTTTTAAGAAATCAAAACATTTTTGCAAACTACTTGTTTCGAGCATTAGAAGTTCGTCATTTTGCTGGTGTTATGGGGGATATTGAATATAAAATAACGTTAATACATTTTCCATATGTTTTAGCGTAAACTAATAAAATCTGTATAGCATTTTTCGAGCAACGTATACTGTCTGCGTGGGTATTAAATGTGAAATATTTTATATTTTATTATGTATATTCTTATATACAGGATGTCCTGTAATTGGTGGTACAAGCGAGTAGGGAGGGAGTGATATTACGTAAAAAATTGAATCGAAAATATAGAATAAAATTTTTTTCATATGACCAGCTTCAGCTCGACGGATTTCATTGTGGATCATAAGCATAAGAAGAAAGTAAAATCGCTGTAAGAGATGTCGTCATGTTGACAATGTTTGTAAACATTGGACGAAGCGTAAAGTACTCTCCTACTCGAAACAGTAAAATTCGTCGAACTGAAGCTAACTCAAGTAGACGCGTACTCGACAAATTTTCAAACTTATCGATTCAATTTTTCACTTAGAATCACCCCCTACTCGCTCGTACCAGCAGTTACAGGACATACTGTATACACATGTACAAAGGCCATTTGTTTTGACTTAAAAAAGAAACGGATAATATTGCACTGTTATAGTGTAATGATATTACCACTACTTTTTTATATACATAAACTAACTTTACACTTACCTAGTAACCTTTTCTCTATCCGTTAATTTTGATAACTCAGGAGAATACGATTGCTAGTTTTTGCGTTCTATTATCACAGCCTGATAAGCTTGCTTTGATTATGTGGTCTCACCAATTTTTCTATTTTTGTGTTTTGTAGAAGCAGGAGGAGGAGAAGGCCCAAGTAAAACGGAAGAAAGAAGCAGTCGAGAAAGAAGAGCGGGAAAAGCGTGAAAAAGAACGGCGTGACAGGCGAGATGGCAGTAGTACTAAAGACGATCAGGACGGTGATCCTGGTAGCCCTACATCTCACAAGGGTCGTAGTAGTAGTACTGGAAGTAGTAGAAGAGATAAAAGACGGTCTAAATCCAGGTATTAGCAGTGTATAATAATTAGAAGAGTAACTCGATATTAAGAAAAGTTATAATATACAAAGCAAGTTTCTTAATAATTTAAGAATTTAATGGTTCTAAACATTTGCACGTTGCGAGACATCGAATGTCAACAACTTTTTCTGTCATTCAAGGTCCAAAGAACGAGATAGGGATCGTCAGAGAAGCGATAGAGATCGCGATAGAGACAGAGATCGAGATAGAGATCGAGAACGAGAAAGAGACAGAGATCGTGAAAGGGAACGCGAACGAGAACGCGAGAGAGATAGAGAACGAGAAAGGGAGAGGGAAAGGGAACGAGATAGAGAACGCGAAAGGGAACGCGAAAGGGAGGAAGCGAGAAAGACGGAAAGAGAGATCATGCGTGAAAGGGAGGAAGAGGAGGAGGCGAAAGAAAGGAAGAAGAACGAAAGAAGAGCACGTGAAAAAGAAGCGGCGTATCAAGAGCGTTTGAGAGCGTGGGAGACACGGGAACGTCGTAAACAAAAGGAATATGAAAAAGAGGCGGAGAAACGTAGAGCGAAACGAGAAGCAAGAGAAAGGGAAGCGAAACGGTTGAAAGAATTTCTTGAAGATTACGACGATGATAGAGACGATGCTAAATATTACAAAGGCAAAGAACTCTCGCGACGTCTGGAAGAGAGAGCACTTGAAGCAGAAGCCGATTCGCGAGATCGTTGCGCAGAGCGTCAAGAGCTTCAACGTCTCCGCGATAAACTTTATGCCGATGCGTCTCATCCAGATCCAGCGGCGGAGTTTGAAAGGGTAAACATGATTAATCGTTATAGGCGTGATGTAATAATACGCGTACATTTACTGCAGTGTAATAACCGCTTTTAATGAGGTTTCGCACTTAAATAAACATCGTGCATCGTACATTTACTACTATGTAATATACGTAAATTGTTACTTTATATTCTAGTTAAAAGCAGAAAGGGAGGAGCAGTATAAGCCTAAACCAGTGATTACTATAATTGACGAGGAAGACGAAAAGGTAGTGAAAAAGGAAAAGGAAGTTATGCCACCCATAGAAACTGAGCCTATCGAAAGTGACAGTGACGAGTGTGTGCAATTTGACGAAGCCTCCCAACCGGAAGCGCCATCCAGAACACCTCCACGACATCATCATCACCACAGAAGGCATCACCGTCATCATCAGAATCATCATCACGACGGCGAAGAGAACGAAGAAGTCGTAGAAACGGATAGAGAGAGTTTAAAGGGTACGAGATCGTCGCCATCTCATCAAGCAGTCACACCATCGGCACAATCCATTCCACCCACGTTAGATGAAGATTCACGCATGTCTCTTGTTAGTGAACCCGAAAAAACGAGCAGTAGTAAGTACAGTGTATTTTTTTTTTCTTCTATTGATACAATAATAAATTCTCTATTTGCGTGACACATTCGCGTGTTATTTTAGGTAACTTCGTGCCGTTCGCTATGGGAAGCGGTGGTAATCGCGGTGGCGATCATGGTGTTGGTAACAAAACCCCAGCTAGTCCCAGCACGGCTGTCACTGTTAATTCGCAACAAACAAATCAAACCAGAAAGAAAGGTCGAATCGACGTCAAGGATGTATTTAATAACGATGACGACGACGATAGTGCTAATAACTCGAAAAAGCGTAAACTAGTTCCTTTAGGTAAATTTCATCGTGCGCTAACCCAAATAGCTATACATCATGTACTCGGCTAACGTGTAATTTTTATACGATTTCTATCTCAGATTATGGCGAAGAGAAAAAGAAAAAGTCTACCGAGGATGTTCAAAAATCAGGAAAAGAAGAAAGTACAAAAAGTCAAGAAGAAAAACGAAAACACATAAAATCCCTTATTGACAAGATTCCTACAGATAAAAACGCTTTATTCGGATACCAACTGGATTGGGCGGTAATAGATAACGTAAGCTGTTATTAGCTATACTTATGTATTATGTCTATAATTTATATGCATATCTTTAGACTGTTATTTATCTTTTGCAGACATTAATGGAGAAAAGAATTAAGCCATGGATTAATAAAAAGATTATTGAATATATTGGCGAACCTGAACCCACACTAGTAGATTTTATTTGTAGCAAAGTAATGGCCGGTAGCTCTCCTCAGGGCATACTTGACGATGTACAGATGGTGAGCGGTTTTCATTTAATTAATATTGAATTAAAAAGTCTATACTGCTATTGTTTAACAAAGTATATTTTAGGTATTGGACGAAGAAGCAGAAGTGTTTGTAGTCAAAATGTGGAGGTTATTAATTTACGAAGTGGAAGCAAAAAAAATGGGCTTAGTTAAATAAATGGATATCAATTAAAGTACTAATCGACATACAAATTTATACTACACATCAAATTCCCTTGGTTAAGATGTAATAATTAGGTAATAGTGATAACAATTACTCATTTGAAGTGTTTGTAATTTTTAAATTCGAACTCTATTTTTACTTCGCTTTGTGCTATATAAATTGGTTTAGCAATAAACAAGTTAATTGTTACTTACAGTGTATCTATTTCGTATTAATTTGAAATGTATATTAAGTTTAGAGATGTTCCTGTTGTAATGGAACATGTGAGCAATAATCGGTAATGAAATCTAGTAATATAGGCAAGCGACGATGAGATTAATTAACATGTTTTGAGAAAGAGGTAAGTAGCGATGGATAAGATTAACACGAGCAAGATGAACAATTGTATTACGAATAAAACCATTTTTTGTATACGCTTATATGTATTCCATTACTGGTGCTAGAATTTCTCATATCGCTCCTCTTGGATTATAAGGCGTATCTAGTGGTTAAAAATATAAATAAAAAACAAAATTCCGTTTAAGATTCGTCCCTCAAGAGGTTGATGTACATTACAATGTACATCAAGTTTGAAAGGGTTATAATCTTACAATGCAACGTTTATTCTTATTTCCAAACAATTTAGAAAATTTCCTATTTTTAAAGAGGAAAGTGAAGCTCAAGTGAGATCGCGAACACGACGCGACCGTGCAGACAGACTTACTGGGTCAGTCCCGTTTCCTCTTGGTGAGTCTAATGCAAGAAGAAGACGATCGACGTTCTCGTGTCAAATCCTGTACTCCCTACATCCTGTTGACAGAGTCACTCTCGGTCCCAACTAGCAACGTCCGACGGATGAGGTCTTAACCCCAGCAATACATCTGCTGCCTGAGTCAGTTTTGGCCTTCCCATGTCATCCTTGGTCCTTGGTCTGGCGTGCACGCGCGAGATCACGACGATCCGTTCCAGCCAGAGTATCCTTGAGGACTGCATGTTCGGACAGGTCTGATACGACCGATGAACGTGAGAAATATTAATATTATTGATTAAATGCATTCGTGGGACATCTGCATAATTTGTATAATTCTCGAGAGTCAAACAAATATCAAAAAATTATTCCTCCAAGAGGGTTTAATTAAGAAGTATATTAAAAAGTGGTCAATTTCGGAATGGGCATCATTCTTTAGGTTTCGAGAATTTATAATCCTGCAATTATTTATATATTGTTCTCGCCAATAAATAGCTTAATTAAGACATGGTATCAGTTCCTTTTGATCCATGTGTTTGATTCTTTATAAAGAATTATATAATTGCAACGTTTTTCATGGCTTAGAATATATAGAAATAAACCATCAATTATTCAGTATTTTAAATAAAATTTACTCAGCTCATCTCGTGATGGAAAAATACACTTATACATAAAACTCATTCACTCATTAATCTACACCATACTGTAGAATTCAACAGTATGCTGAAGTTACAGTGTTATCAATTAGATTTACAAACTAATTTCTCATTACTGCACAGTATATATTTTTTTACTATACAACACAATTTCTATATTATAATCTATACCGTAGAATTTCATAGTACAATCTAGGAGATTGTATTATTACCAATCAGACCCACTGTTCAACTTCCCAGCTCAGCACAGTATACGACCACCATACACACACAAGAATGTCGAAGTATCGCATCACGTAATCCATCTAAATCGGAAAAATCGCATTATGCATGACCCAGTATATACCTACCGTAGCTCATTACTTGCCAAAAAGCCGCGAACGTTCCCATCTACTTAGCGCGTTCTTCGAAAAGGTTGATACGCGTCGCGCGGTTTCCCGTAATCAAAGGGTTAAATTGCGGAAGGTCCAACAAGAGGAGGCGGCTGAAAGTATTCGTTCCAAAAGAGCACGCACAATCGCGGGATCTGTTCCCGCGGGTGAACGTGTAAACGCATACATAGACGTAATCTCTAGTAGAAAGTCGGCGAGACGGGCGTCCCATGCGCGTAGCACCCACTTCTCATATTATTTGTCGTTAAGTGCATGAAAGCTTTTTTCGAGGGCTTAATACAAGCTCTCGGTTAATAGCGGAGCATTATTGTGTTCACGGGGACACGAGTGCGTCGCGCGGCTTAGAGTCTCGCTCTCTTCTTCGGCACTACACGAAAAACGCGGCAGCCCAACCTTTTACGGATTCTTTGTCGCGGCGCGATTATGTACCAGCCGAGCTTCTCGTCCCCACCTCTCTCTTTTTCTTTTTCCTGCCTTTTCTTATGTATTTATACACACGAGCTTCGCTTGTACGCCCGCGGCCGTTTCCCTTTTTCGCCCGTGCTGCGTGGTCTTGCCGCGGCACGTTCGGGGGTGGTTGGGAACCAATTTTCACCCGACAACTTTTTCATCCCTTTTTCCTCCTGTTTTCTCGCCCAACGCAAAATGTACCGAAAATCGTTGCGCGAAATCGGGCGATCTAACGAGCAACGCGCGATAACTGAAAGCTCGACTCGGCTGGAGGGTTTGGGAAGCGTGAAACTGGGACGTCGGTTTTCAATCCTTGTGGAAACTCGAGGAGAAGCTCGAGTGACATATAATATAGGGTTTCGCGAACGAGACATTAGGATTTTATTTTTTTAGTAAAATAATGTAGGAACTTTTAATAATAGCTTTTTGGAGACACTTTATAAGGGTGAGATCGAATTATTAACACGTTGACTGCCGTGGGGGTCACCGGTGCCCGGCGACGCGACTAATAGTAAAAATACAATATGTTTCGTACGAGCGTGTCAATCTGCTTTTCCACTGTTTCGTAACATCACGATCTCAATCGCCATATCCGTGCACGCGTAATTTATAATTGTAGTCGGTGACGGAATGTAATATTTCCGTCGACGTTAAAATAAACGCAAGTCAGTGTACATATAAATATACCGCTCGAGAGTTCGGAATTTCATCGCGTTTAATTTTCAGGAATGGAAACGTTATTAAGTGTATTGATTTACTTCGACTGTATTATTAAAATTCCCCCCATTCGGTTGATTGTTAACCGCTTGGATCCAATTTATCGCGAAAGATACATCGAATTTATCACCGTGATACGTTCTATAAATTATCGTCGAACAAATATGTTCGTTGCACGGTACATGTGTTTGGGACTAAATTGTTCTTGTTAAAAGAAGGTTCGAATTGCGAACAAATAATTTGTAATTAACGGTTCGAGTAGTTTTTCTGAATTGCAAAATTGTTCTTCCAATTATGCATTCGTTGCTAATGTATCACAATTGATAACCATATCTTCCGATGGTTCAAATAATCATGGTAGTCCCTAATGTTCGACACGGTTCGACGTGAACATCCAGCCGAATGTAAAGTTTAAATATTTAAGATGCGTTCAATTTGGGACTTTCAGGAAGGTTTATATTAATAATTCGTCGTTCCATATTTTCCAGTGCACTGTAATATCTCGGTAAACAGCGTGAGCGCAGGGAAACGAGCAGAGCAAGCTCTCGGTTTACCACGACCAATTCAATGACTATGGTATACTCTACCGAGCACATTATCTGCAACAATTGCATTATGCGCCAGGCAGCCACTGTGCTGCGACCATATCCATATTAGATTTGAAGAAGCTTGCCGTAATAAGTTGTGGCTGAGTTTGGCGAACGTTCCATTTAAATGCTCGTGCTGGTAGTCGATTTTCAAAAGGACAATCCTCGGGACTCGAGGTACATGAAAATAATTTTATGAATCAACTCCTGTGTTTATTTACGACGGGACTAATTTTCTTTGACTAATAACAGGGAGGGAACCGCACTATGGTGCGAAATATTAAGCGTTTCTCGTTATTTATTTTTACAGAGAAAAAATTTCGCCCTGGCAAACAGGTCAATCTTCGTTAGAAAACAAGTCGAATAAATTCTATATTAAACGACATTTTTACCTAAGCTTAATTTTGTTTATAAATTCATGTTGAACATGTTCGCACGATCTCACGAAGCATCAGGTTTACGAAAACGAGCGTGTTATTTTTTTCGAGTACAATCGCAACTCCGACGTTTCACAGGCTGATTAGAACATTCGCGTTATCTATGAAGATGACTTTGCCAATAGGATGACGGTTAATGGATGGTGTACGAGCTTTCCGGACGGAAATTCTGAGCTGAGTGACGCATCGTGGTCGGAACGCCCAACGGAGTTTGATGAGGAGCGGTTGGAGAGTCTGGACTAGGAAGATTCCCGGCAAACATCTCGAGCATCAGGAGAGACGATTAGATGTGACCACAACATCTCTTAAAATTCCTATCTTGCAAGCTAAGAGGCTAAAATTTGTATACAATTAGAAATTACATAATCTAACATCCGTGGCAGCAGTTATTCTCGTGATCTCTTTAAAATGTACCAGTTCTATCCAAATTGATTTTCTTCGAAACCTCACTTTCAGAATTAATTAATTAATTTTTCAGTGAAAATCACTTGTCACTCGTATATGGGTGGTACGACGGTCAACGTGTTAACATGCATGGATTGACATTTCATCTCGCGTAGATTCACTTCCAAATAAATCGACGTTGAAAATTCATCGAATGTTACCATCGCACTCTTCTCGTGCGACTTCGCCTCTGGTGTTAACCAATAGCAGTCAATGAAAAAACCGATGAAAGCGAAAGTCGATCGAATCGAGCGCAGAACGACGATGCCTACTCCAATTCTGTATAGACAAAACAGTTTTAGATATGAAGCGAAGAAAAGGAAGGTGCGCCTCGCAACCGAACGAAAGGAAGCAAATTATTCGTGTCGAAATTAATCGTCGGCACGTTAACACGTAGCTGGAGGAGGAAACACGGAAGGGTAGAGGTACGCGACATACAGACGACGGAGGGGGCGCGTTTAGCATTTTACAGAGGATACGTGCCTGCCAGACCGACGATCGACGAGCAAAAAGCGAAGAAGAAGCCTCCAGAACCCAGGGAAGCCTCGGGAGGACTCAAGGAATCGTCGCACGTATCTGCCAGGAGAAGATGAAACGGTAACGAGTGTAGTTCACGGTAACTAAATATTCGCAGGATCGCATCCGAAGGGGGGGGGCTAGGGAACGACGGAAAAAGGAGCCGAACCGATGCTTCTCTGCCGTCTCCAAGGCTGGTGTACATGCAATCGTCGTCGCTCGCGGAAACAATTTATTCTCACGGTTTCGCGCGCAATTTGCCACGGGCACGTGTAACGCGGATAACGAGAATCATCGAATGAAAAGCCAACGTCGCGGCTGCAAATTGCATTTCACGCGACATTTACCATAACACCGGGCGGAATATTTCCAAGCGGCGGCTAGCAAACCGATCCTTGGATACACCCAAGAAGCGCCAGACGTCGATATGCCATTTAATTCGGTCCCGCGGCCCTGTTGCTTCGACTTCGAGAACGACCTATCGATTCCGCGA